AAAGAAATAATTTCACAAAATTCGTCACTTGACATCAATTCATGGAAAAGACGTGAGGGGTAGCTATCCGCCATATGATCAATAAACCGTTGTAACTTCTGCTGAATATCCTCTGGTTGAGATTCATGGAAGGCTTTCAGTTTCATACGTGTCAAGGCTTCAAACATCAACTTGTGGGCATTCATGCTACGGTTATACTGCTTTCCGTCTAGTACACCATTAATTGACCCCCCTGCCACAATCTCAGCTTCAACAAGAATATCTTGAAGTCCAGCATCTCTGAAGCGTTTTCCTATCACAGAAAGAAAACACATGTAAGTGTGAAATTCTCCAAGTCTAATTATCAGTCGTTTATAAAAATTATCATTATTCAATCGGATTTCTTGTGCTTTGGCAAATATTGTCAAATCAAAAACTACTGTAATGGTATTCAGGTGTAATTTATCTGCTAATTCCAGACTGCGGCATAAAATGGTATTAACTGTGTCCATTTCTGTTGGGGAAGCCTCAATGACTGGAAGGTACGCAATCTTTGACTGTAGCAAACCCTCAGTTGATGAAATCTCAGTGTTGAAACCAGTCCATCCAGGGTATAACGTTTCACTTTGATTGAAATACTTTATCATTACAAATGCCAAATCTGTAATATGTTGATTGCGATGATATTTGGTGTAGTTTTTCTTTAGAAGTAAGTCTTTGGCAACATTACAGACAGGTGGACCAGTTCTTCGTTCAGGACTATAGGCAGAAATACTTGTGGCAGTATGTAATAAAGTAGCCGGATTCTTAGGCAGGGATTGTCTTGGTATGTCTGCAACTTCCTGAGTAGATGGTAAAGAAGATTGTATAGCAATTCCATTGGTATGATGTGTGGTACCGTGGCCAGAGATGGTTTCCTCACTGAAGTCTATGTTGTCCCATACAAGTAGAGTGTGCACACCGTCTTGAAAACCACTAGGTATGTACACAGGGCCTTTATTTAACTGTAACTGTGCCAGTGATGTATCATATCGAAGGGTAGTTTTGTGAGAAATGCTGTGTCCAAGGCCATTTAATAGATCAATAACTTTCTGTGATCCTGTAAGATGACGGATAGTTAGTCCCAAAGCCAGAGACTTGGGTGTATGCTTCCTTTTCATGATTTCAAACAAACCTAATTCTACATTCTTATTAGTCTTATTTGAATTACTCCTTACAACAATTTGACAGATCCATGTTTGTGTGTATGGGAAGCGGGGGGGGGGGGGGGGGGGGGGTAACCCTAAACTGTCAGAAATAAACATGAGCTGTCTCATGTCTCAACTTGATCAGTATATATAAAAGGAAATCATAATTAAGCGGGTGTTTTATGAAAATTCACCCAATGGTCAGCAACAATTAGTCGTTTTAATATCCACTCTATTCCAAACAGGTACATATAGAACCATATTATTCTGGCAACTGACTCCTGTCGAATGTGTTCAAATTTTACGTAAATGCAAATTCACACCCATTGGGTGCAATAAAAAAAGGACTAGCCATTATTGTTGAAGGAATTAAAATTAATACAACTTACACATCAGAAGGCTTTCTTGAGAGAAATTTGACATATTTCTTGTAACAACATGCATGATACCGAACTTCAAGGGCTACTCAATCTTTGTCACGAATGTGTTTCAAAATGGACTCATCTTCTTTCTTTGTAGCAGCTTCTCGTAGCAAACCTGTGTTTATATAAAAAATATGAAAATGTAATGTTCAGATATTCCTGACAGCTTAAAAAGAGATTATACTAAGAAAGTTTGAGCTTTTAATTGATAGACTGAAATGCTACACATTTAATCAGTCTGGTGATCAACACTGTTTATATTAAAATAATTTGCATTCTTATATAGTCCAGCTTCATGCTTTTAATCAGCATGGCAATTGTGTCACACGAATGAGAAGTGGAGCTCTTAGTCTTACATTTGTAAACAATTACATGTACTTACCACCATCCAAAGTTTGTGTTTTATATAATAAATCTTTGGTTCGTTTTCCGGCACGTTTGATGTATGAGTCGACTTTCTTGCATATGATACAAACAGCTGGAAGAACACCACTGGTAGAAGATGTGACTGTACATGATAACGGTTGATGGGATCTTAATCTCTTTTTTGGTGAAGGAGTTGAAGGACTGTCTGGTTGGGTCTCAGGTGCTGCTGGTGCCGCCCTTTTCAAGGCTCTCTTTTCTGAACGCTGGATCCGTTGTTTATCACAGTAGCGAGAATAGCATTTGGAGTGATAACGGTACACCTTCAATGCTTCTTCTTTTGAGCCTACAAAAAGTTAAAAATTACAGCCCACCTTTGAATAAAGTTTATATTTTGAAAACAATAAATGCATATGACCTAGTTTTCAAAATTTGCAGTATCTAGTCAGTATGAAATAGATCTCCTACTGCAATATCAAAATAAACTTAGATATTGCTTTAAACATTTATATTCAACATGCCATATATATTTTATTTTGTTTATTTAATTACTATTACCATTTGCTGAGACAGATTAATAAACTACCGGCATAGGTTGTTTCCGAATCCATATATAATTTAGTATTTATTGTATTTCGTATGCAAATGTATGCTAAATAAATACTGTTTAAACCAAAAATGTGTCTGTTTAAATAATGCATAGACATAAAGAATCTGTAATCATTTCAGTGTAAGAAAGAGAGAAAAAATTAATGTACTTTAGGCCTACTTTACCTTCAAACACATCACGATAAGAAACGGCAATTTTCTACTCTTCTCCGTCGAGATTTTGCCACTGAGAAGCGAAGTTCACAACAGCATTCCAACTGGTATCACTAAAGTGAACTAATTTGCCAGGATCCTTGATTGCCTGGTGAATAAGGCACTTCATACTTCGAGAAACTTAGTCAAGACGACGAAAAAATAATCAAACACGCATTTTTGTTGATATTTACATCTGTGCCCGTAATGACGATTTTTCTATTTGCTGATTGGCTGAAATCCCGGGTCCTGAACTTTCAGGCACAAATTCTCCTAACTTTTTCACCGGCGCATTAATATGGCGGTGAAAAATACCAAGTCCGCGAAAACAAAATAATTAAAAGTTATAAAAATATTTTGAAGCAGTCACTTATGGAAAAAGAGATGTGAAGTAATGTCATTATTCGTTTTATGCATTTTTAAATTAATCTGTGCAGAAAAATTACAGTCTCAAGGCCATTCCACGAGAGTAAACAATAACTCACTCCAGTCCACGGCCTACTCTGGAGGTCACAATTTCGATATTCGCACATATCGGATCACAACTTCCTGAATTATGGCCCCTGATTGTACGAAAAATCGCGTTTTTGGCTTGTGGTCTCTCCAGAGGTCACAATTTTTATCCGATTTAAAAAAAACGTTCGATTATGTCACCGTTACACCGTAATGAAGGTTGAGTTCAAAATTGCCAGACAAAATGGCCGCCGCTTGTACACGAATAGTGTAAAAATTTTGTATATCAAGGTTGTGGACCCTGTAGAGGTCACAATTTTAATTTGATTTTGATGAAACTTGAAATGCATGTTTATAACCTAACGATCTAGGTTCCTTTCGATATTTGCGCATATCAGATCGTAACTTCCTGAATTATGACCCCTGACTGTACGAAAAATCGCCTTTATTAGCTTGTGGTCCCTCTGGAGGTCACAATTATTACCCGATTTAAAAAAACGTTTGATTATATCACCGTTACAATGTAATGAAGGTTGAGTTCAAATTTCGTGAACATAGGACCAAAATTGCCGAACAAAACGGCCGTCGCTTTGTAATACGCGAATAGTGTAAAACTATGGTATATCAAGGTTGTGAACCCTTTAGAGGTCACAATTTTGATCAGATTGTGATGAAACTTGAAATGCATGTTTATAACTCAAATATCTTGGTTCCTTTCGATATTTGCACATATCGGATCGTAACTTTCTGAATTATGGCCCCTGTTTATACGAAAAATAGCCTTTTAATATGTCCACATTGAAATGTGGACGTATATTGTTGTCGCCCCCGGCCAGCCGGCCGGCGTCCACAAAGTTAATATCCGATTGACTTTAAATTTATACACAGTGTTTAAGGTCATAAGACGAAGAAGCCTATTGATTTTTAGCGATTTTCAATAATTACTGCCAGAGTTATGGCCCTTGATCACTTCAAAAAATCTTGTGGACGCTCTAGAGGTCAAAGTTAATATCCGATTGACTTTAAATTTATACACAGTGTTTAAGGTCATGAGACGAAGACGCCTATTGATTTTCAACGATTTTCGATAATTACTGCCAGAGTTATGGCCCTTGATCACTTCAAAAAATCTTGTGGGCGCTCTAGAGGTCATAGTTAATATCCGATTGACTTTTTAAATTTATACAAAGTGTTTAAGGTCATGAGACGAAGAATCCTATTGATTTTCAGCAATTTCCGATTATTTTTGACAGAGTTATGGCCCTTGATCACTTTGAAAAATCTTGTGGACGCTATAGAGGCTAAAGTTGATATCCGATTGACTTTAAATTTATACACAGTGTTTAAAGTAATGAGACGAAAAAGCCTATAGATTTTCAACGATTTCCAATAATTACTGCCAGAATTATGGCCCTTGATCACTCTAAAAAAATCTTGTGGACGCTCTGGAGGCTAAAGTTCATATTCAATTGACTTTAAATTTATACACAGTGTTTAAAGTCATGAGATGAAAAAAGCCTATAGATTTTCAACGATTTCCGATAGTTACTGCCAGAGTTATATATTCAATTTATATATTTATATTCAACTGACTTTAAATTTATACACAGCGTTTAAGGTCATGAGACAAAGAAGCTGGATTACGAGCTAGAAGTCCCATTAGAGCTGTTGTTTTGACAGGCCGAAACTGTCAAATCCGACTTTAGTTCCTTTGTGGACTTCTAGGACGATGTACATGTAACTGCTGTGTGTGTATGTATTTCGTTGCCTAGCCGGCTATCTTTTATTATTGCAGACAATTCAGAGAATCCTGGAGAAAAATTGTTAGAACTGTTGTCAGATGTAACAGTTTGCGATTTTATTACCAAGGTACAGGAAGCTGGGTTAAAATCACTTATCAGGATATTTGAAGAATCTGGTAAGTACCAGTATGCAAAAGTTTTTATATATCCATGTGGTGGTATATTGTTGTTGCCCTTGTCAGTTCATCAGGATCTGTTGGTTATTGTCTACACTTAAAGCTAAATTGCTATGGGAACATTTTCTCTGGCAAATCCATGTTACGGCACATTGACAGTGAATAAAGATCTTGTTCCATATTCAAAGGATATTTTAAGTCTAAGATAGTCACTTAACTATTAGATTTCACCTTGGACCTTATAATACTATAACATTATAAAGGTCCATGATTTTACTTAAATATACTTAACTTCCTGTAAGTTAAGGGTAAGTTGTATTGAAAGGCAATGTTAAATAAGTATCAAATTTTCCCTTAAAGTTAAGCTGCCTTAAACATATATTATGCAAGCGCTAAATCTGCCTTTTGCAGGTCTTTCTTTAGGCCTGAAATGTTATATCTATTAATTAGACATTTATTAACATTAAAAATCCATAATCAACACTTGATGCCATCTTATGTGTCCGATTTTCATTGAATTTGAATCTGATCTGATGTTCAATCAACACCCACTGATGATTAACCGCAAAAATGGATAATTGAGACTTTGTGAAAAAGGTAACAATGACAATCGAGGATACAGTTATTTTAAAATAAGGTTTTCTCGGCTTAGAGTGAAGCAATTTTCAGCATATCCCCTTTACATTATTTAGTCTGCCAGGTCTTATCTAATCTTCCATAAAGGACAATATTGGTGACAGTCATTATCATATATGTGATAAAACTGGTTAAACATTTTCCAAATATTATTTTATCACAGAGATCATTGCTACGATAGATGCGCAATCAATGTTTCAACAATCGGAAGTTATCCCTCTATATAACTGATTGAAATGACGGGTGATAACAGATACATGGGCGAATTTCTACTCACTAATAGTAATACGTGCCAACATTTTTTGCGTTTGGGAGCATTGTGTGAAACAATAGTTCATAGTATTGCATAATATTATACATACAAAACCACCTAGTAATAGAATATTTGGGAAAAAAAAGTGATGCGTTTTCCATGACGCTCAGTATATTTTTCTGTAAGTATCTCCAATGCTTTCCGATTCCCAATAACACGTGACATGCATCGATTGGAATTAGGTCAATAAACCAACATTGCTAGATTTAGTTTTTATATGCCCACATTATATTGTCGTCGCCCCCATCCATCCGTCCGTCCGGCGTCCACAATTGCTTGTGGACGCTCTAGAGGATAAAGTTAATATCTGATTGACTTTAAATTTATACAAAGTGTTTAAGGTCATGAGACGAAGAAGCCTATTGATTTTCAGCGATTTCCGATAATTACTTCCAGAGTTCTGGCCCTTGATCACTTCTAAAAATCTTGTGGCTGCTCTAGAGGCTAAAGTTAATATCCGATTGACTTTAAATTTATACACAGTGTTTAAGGTCATGAAGCGAAGAAGCCTATTGACTTTCAGCGATTTCCGATAATTACTGCCAGAGTTATGGCCCTTGATCACTTTGAAAAATCTTGTGGACGCTCTAGAGGCTAAAATCAATATCCGATTGACTTTAAATTTATACACAGTGTTTAAGGTCATGAGACAAAGAAGTCTATTCATTTTCAGTGATTTTCGATAATTACTGTCACAGTTATGGCTCTTGATCACTTTAAAAAATCTTGTGACGCTCTAGAGGCTAAAGTTATCATCCGATTGACTTCAGATTGATACACAGAGTTTAAGAGCTTGAGACAAACAAGTATATTGAATTTCGGTGAATTTTTAAGACTTGAACAGCAAAATCCATGATATTAAAAGTTTTTTATACTAAACGTTAGCATGGGGCAGAACTTTATAAAAACCAAACAAATTCTAATGGTTTTCTGATAATTACTTCATGAGTTGTTACTCTTAATCAGATTTTAGTGTATTATAAATGTTTCATTACCGTAAGAAGTAAAAATATGCGACAACACTTGTTCACTGCCCGGACGATTTAGCTGCTCTGGGCGTATGTTTTGTTGCCTGGTAACCTATCTTTATATGCCCACATTGAAATGTGGTCGTATATTGTTGTCGCCCCCGTCCATCCATCCGGGTGGCCATCCGTCCGTGTTTATAACTCAATGCATGTTTATAACTCAAATATCTTGGTTCCTTATATCTTATTTGCACATATCGGATCGTAACTTCCTGAATTATGGCCCCTGATTATACAAAAAATAGCCTTTTAATATGCCCACATTGAAATGTGGACGTATATTGTTGTAGCCCCCAGCCGGCCGGCATCCACAATTGCTTGTGGACGCTCTATAGGCTAAAGTTAATATCCGATTGACTTTAAATTTATACACAGTGTTTAAGGTCATGAGACGAAAAAGCCTATTGATTTTCAGCGATTTTCGATAATTACTGCCAGAGTTATGGCCCTTGATCACTTTAAAAAATCTTGTGGACGCTCTAAAGGTCAAAGTTAATATCCGATTGACTTTCAATTTATACAAAGTGTTTAAGGTCATGAGACGAAGAAGCCTATTGATTTTCAGCTATTTCCAATAATTTTTGCCAGAGTTATGGCCCTTGATCACTTTGAAAATCTTGTGGAATCTCTAGAGGTCAAAGTTAATATCCGATTGACTTTAAATTTATACACAGTGTTTAAGGTCATGAGACGAAGAAGCCTATTGATTTTCAGCGATTTCCGATAATTTTTGCCAGAGTTATGGTCCTTGATCACTTTGAAAAATCTTGTGGACGCTCTAGAGGTCAAAGTTAATATCCGATTGACTTTAAATTTATACACAGTGTTTAAGGTCATGAGACGCTAAAGTTATCATCCGATTGACTTCAAATTGATACACATGACCTTAAACACTGTGTATAAATTTAAAGTCAATCAAATATTAACTTTTGCCTCTAGAGCATCCACAAGATTTTTCAAAGTGATCAAGGGCCATAAATCTGGCAGTAATTATTGGAAATCGCTGAAAATCAATAGGCTTCTTCGTCTCATGACCTTAAACACTGTGTGTAAATTTAAGGTCAATCGGATATTAACTTTGGCCTCTAGAGCGTCCACAAGACTTTTTGAAGTGATCAAGGGCCATAACTCTGGCAGTAATTATCAGAAATCGCCGAAAATCAATAGGCTTCTTTGTCTCATGACCTAAAACACCGTGTATAAATTTAAAGTCAATCGGATATTAACTTTGGCCTCTAGAGTGTCCACAAGATTTTTCAAAGTGATCAAGGGCAATAACTCTGGCAGTAATTATTGGAAATCACTGAAAATCAATAGGCTCTTTCGTCTCATGACCTTAAACACTGTGTATAAATTTAAGGTCAATCGGATATTAACTTTGGCTTCTAGAGCGTCCACAAGATTTTTTGAAGTGATCAAGGGCCATAACTCTGGCAGTAATTATCAGAAATCGCTGAAAATTAATAGGTTTCTTCGTCCCAAGACCTTAAACACTGTGTATAAATTTAAGGTCAATCGGATATTAACTTTGGCTTCTAGAGCGTCCACAAGATTTTTTGAAGTGATCAAGGGCCATAACTCTGGCAGTAATTATCGGAAATCGCTGAAAATCAATAGGCTTCTTCGTCTCAAGACCTTAAACATTATGTATAAATATAAGGTCAATCGGATATTAACTTTGGCCTCTAGAGCGTCCACAAGCAATTGTGGATGCCGGACGGACGGACGGGGTGACGACAATATACGACCACATTTCAATGTGGGCGTATAAAAACAATAATTTTTGTTTTGAATATGAAGAAATGCCATGGTTTCGTATCAGCTTATTTTGGCTACTGCATTTTCTGATACTGGCCGTAATTTCAATTGACTGATGATATCTGTTTATCCATCAAATAAACGAAGACAGTAATTTATTCAGGAATATTACTGACGAACATCAAGTCATATATTAGCCTATCCAGAATACGACATTCTACATAACAAACTACCAGGAATTTTTTTTTTTTTTGAAGTCTGGTTATATTAAATTAAATTGGAGCTTCAATGGTTATATTAAATTAAATTGGAGCTTCAAATCACCCTATTTCCTACCGGGAAATCAGGGTACTATTAAAATGGGTCTGTCTGTCCGTCACACTTTTTGGAACACAATAACTCTCCTTTTAATTGAGCTAGAATGTTCAAACTTGGTGTAGGTCAATGCCTTGATGGAGTTCGAAGATGAACAGTTTCTGCTTAGGGACACGATAACTTTAGTTCTAATTAAGTGAGAGTGATGAAACTTTGGATATAGTTTCATTACATCAATACCTTGACTAAGTGCGATAATGAGCATTTTCTTCAATAAGCAATATGATTGGTCGATGCTGAGCATTTTCTGCTAAGCCCATTCAGGCCTGACGGGACTCTCATGTCCCATCATATAGTGAATACAATGTTGCAATGTATATGTGTATTATGGCCAGTATTTTATTATAAGTCAGTTTTAGGTAGGTCTTAGGTCGGGTTAAAGTAGTGCAGTCTTCTTAGTGCAAACAAAATTATAGAGTGGCATTTCAATGTCAAACACAAAATCACAGTGATTTTTTTGTAAGAAAATCTTTGTGCATGTTTGAAGACACGGAGAAAGTTCTAAATAAGTAAAATGGTTATGAATTTTTTTCATGACACTTTATCCAAATCAAAACCCTTTCATAAAGTTTATATAAAAAATGGGCAATATTTGCATTTACTGTCATGTATTTTTTCAGTGGGACGTATCAGTCCCGTCAGGCAGATTGTACACCCATATAGATCCTGGGACTCTGAAGTACCAATGCGTTTTTTCCAAATTTATGTGACTTTTCCTTTGCGAATTGATTAGTATGTCTGAATTTATCCTTTTATAACATGACTAAAGATATTTTAAATTACAACTGGTTTGTAAAATGATATATGTTTTCAAAAATCGTGGGCGATGTGAGGTTTGCTCTATTAAGAAAAACATCAAATCTCGCCCTCAGAGTAAATGTGTTACATGTAATGTATTCTTATGCTGTAATAAATCAAGAAATTGTTTTCTAGATTTCCATGATGCGGTTGGAAATAAATTATATATTTCAATTTCAAGTTAAAATTGTTTACACCTTTAGTTGAATGAATTTAGCTATGGATTATGGTTTCAAATTGTTGAGAAAATATAGTTTTCTTTGTTCGAATTGTCTGTTTTGTGTTTTGGATTGAAGTTATGATGAAAATACAGATTTCAAGAATAATTTAAACTTTTTTGTCTTTTTTGTATTGAAAATAATTTACCCCTTTGCCGCTCGTCGGGACATTCAAGTCCCACCCCCCGTTAAGGCTTTGGAACACAATAACACTCCATCTAAGTGAGGTAGAATGTTCAATCTTGGTGTAGTTGTCTATTAGCTGAAAAAGATAAATCTGCAATTAATTAACATGTGTCATCTATTTATTTTGGGATTTCGTCAAAATCTTGCTTGGCAAATGCTTGTTCCTTATATTTTCATCTTTTTAGTAGCAATAAATGTATTTTGGTTTTCTTTCAGATGAGTTCATAAAGTTCTTGTCAATCACTACTGTAGATGAACAAATTACCAGGCAAGCTGTTTTTGATCAGGCAGAAATAAATCTTAAAAATTTGCAGACTAGTAATGTATATAATTATAACATTAGAAAAGCATGCAATGTTCAGATTGGTTCAAATCCTAAAATGTTACATGATAATTCAAACGAAGATTTGTCATCGACTTCTCCAATGGCTCCATCAAGATCATCTTCATATGCATCTGAATATCCGTCTGAAGAGGATATGCCACAAACTCAATCTGCTATTCCACCTGATTATTCAAATGACCAATTGTTATCGTCTTCACCAAAGGCTCCATCAAGATCATCTTCATCTGAATATTTATCTGCATTGGATGGATCACAAAATGAGGGTTCTTCAATTTTTGAGAAAAATCCAAACAAATTAGTAGAAAAGTTTGATGCAGTAGAATACTTGAGAAACGAAATCTCTCCTGATCCAAAGTCTTCTAATAAGGATAAATGTGATAAGGCTGAAGCTTCTGACAGTTCAACAGTCAGTGTCAGCAATGACTCATCTGGCAGATCAAAACCGTCTTCTTCCGATACAATGCAAAATAAAATTTATGTTTCTCAAGATAACTTACCTGCTTCAGAAAAGACAGCTTTAAACAGTCCAACTGAATCTACCGTTCCACCTGATAATACTTGCAAGACTGCTATGGGAGTGAGTCAGACTCGAGAAGAAAATTTCCAGAACCAAGATATTCCAGCTTTGAATACAGCAGTGTGTTCAGCACCATCTATCCCCAATCAAGATATAAATAGACTATCCCTATCAAATTTTCGAGCTGAGGAGGAAACAATACTAAAAGTGGAAGATTCTGCTCGAAATTTAAACACTTCCAGCTTAAACCCCCCATCACAAACAGATCATTTACCTGATGAAGCTGGTAAATCTATTAGAGTTAAGAAGGAGTCAAATGACACTAGTACTCATGACAGACATGGGGATGGGGATTCAGGACTAACGCTAAAGTCTTTTTAAGATTCTTCTAATTATCTTGATCTTGCAGTGAGTGGTTCCCAGCAACCATTGAATGAATGATACAACCAATGAAAGAGCATGCAATAAACAATTCTACTCAAGACTTAAATAATATAAATGATGGTATGACAAAGTCAGCTAATGACAGTTTGAAAGGGTCCTCACTAGATATGCAGTCACTCAAAGGCACTTCTGAGGACTTAACTATATTCTGACAGGAATAACATTGGTGGCCACACCAATCGTACCAATGGAAACAGAGAGAATCAGCTCAGTATCAAAAGGGTCTGCCCTGAACTTCCCAGTTCTGTCATCCAAGAATTCAACAAATGTAACCATTAACAATCCTCAAAATATTCCTTTTACAGACCTATTTTCAGACGATTGTCAGGATCCAAAGGTATAATCAATTTTCACAATTCTAGAATATTTATACGCCACGATTTTATTGTTGTTTTATATTGCAGTCTCCAATGTTTTGTCAACCACACATTTTGGAAGTACAATAGAAGTTACAATAATCCATATACCAGGTGTATTTTTGAAATTGATGAGTTGTTTATCTCATTGAAACTCACATTTTTCGATAATTATCACTTTTTATTTTGGCCCCCAGACTGGGTCTTTAAATGAGAAATTTTACATTGTACGATGTTGCCGATTGATAAAAAAAAAAAATGGTTGATTTGAACATAATTTGGTCATATGTACATAGATTAGTGAAACATGTTCACATTCTATTTGTGTTGAATTGCATAGTTAGGTTTTGGTCCTCAATCTTTTTGGGAACACAGGAGACTGTGACCATGGGTTCACCTGTCTATCAGTCCCTCACACATTTTGGACATTAACCATGGTTTTAATCGAGCTAGAATGTTCACTCTTACTAGATGAATGTTTTAACTGAGTTTTTTGATAAGCATTTTCTGCTTAGTGTAAACAGAGATATAAAATTTGATTTGTCAATGTTTTGGCACAGATAATTTATAACCGCCTTTGTTAAATGACGAAACTTGATGTCAAAGTTGTATAAAGGAATTTATGATACAGTACCATAAATAACCAGCGGTTGCCAAGCAAGATACAACCACATTTTGCAAGAGAGTTCGCAACCTTCGTATTCATACTTTTACACGTATATACGGCCATTTTGTTGGGCAGTTTCATTTCGATTTTCCCGAAATTCGAATTCAACCTTCATTTTGGTCACATTTTGGTTGAATGTTGATATATTTAAACAGTTTTTAAAATTAGATAACAATTGTGACCTCTACAATCTGGGGCCCTAATCCAGGAAGTTACAGTCTGATATGCGCAAATATTGAAAGGAACCGAGACCTTTGGGTATACATACATTTCAAGTTTCATCAAAATCGGATAAAAATTGTGACTTCTAGAGGGACACACACAACCTTTGTATTACATACTTTTACACTATTTTGTGCGGCAGTTTCGGTCCAATTTTTACAAAATTCGAACTTAATCAACATTATGGTGCAACGGTGTATATTCAAACGGTTCTTTAAATTAGATAAAAATTGTGACCACAGTGGGACCACAAGCTATAAACGTGATTTTTCGTACAATCAGGGGCGATAATTCAGGAAGTTACGATCCAACGAACCAAGGTCTTTGGGTTATGAATATGGAGGGAGGTTGGATGGCCGAATGCTCAGCACGTGCGCGCTGTATCATAAGGTCTGTCATTGAGTCAACCGGCGGGATTTCGATTCCCAGGTTGTACGTGACAAGAAATAAGGTCGCTTGTCCAACCTCTTGGGTTTTCTCTGGGTCGTCCAGTTTCCTCCCACTGCCAAAGGCTCCAACGTGTAAGCGAATTATCGAAATAAAATTGAACCATGTGTTAGTCCCGAAATGACCTAGTTTGTGTCAAGTGGCTGTTAAACCCAATTTCTCTCTCTTTTATAAACATGCATTTCAAGTTTCATCAAAATCGGATGACAATTGTGACCTATATTCAGGACATTGCTATCCGATAAGTGCGAATATTGAAAAGAATCAAAATTATGACCTCTAGAGATGGTCCACAACCTTGATATACCATATTTTTACACTATTTGCGTACAAGGCCGGACATTTTGTCTGGCAGTTTTGGCCGATTTTCACAAATTCGAATTGAACCGACATTACAGTTTTTTAAACCGATAATAATTGTGACATCTAGGGACCACAAGCTAAAAATGCAATTTTTCATACAATTTAGGAAGTTACGATCCGATATGCGCAAATATCAAAAGGACAAGATCTTTGGGTTTTAAACATGCATGTCAAGTGTAATACCATGGGTTGTCTGTCAGATACAGAAAGCAGCCATACCCTCAAAACCGTGTTCTCAAAAATGTGTTCTTTTGCACAAATCCTGCCATCCATCTTACTACAAATCAGATGAAAATTGTGACCTGTAGAGGTTCCACAAACAAATTGTGGACGGACAGATGTCCGTATGGACAGGGGTGACGGCATAATACATCCACATGAAAATGTGGGCGTATAAAAACATAAAATATGAATTTAATTTGCCACGTTTCTGTGTTATCAAAAGTGATACTTGAAGTTGGAAGCCCTGGTGTATATCTTGACTAATGAGTAATGGGCAATTTGATTGCTGGATGCTTTGTAAAAAAATTAAATTTGAAGTACTGTACTTAATGAGTTTCACTTTTGGCTTGTTTAAAATTTCATGATATTTTTAAGGCAGGTGTGATATTCATGTATTTGTAGGTTTTACTAGTCTAGAAAAAACAATATTTCACATAATGGGTTTTTTTTGTGTATGTGGGGATGGGGGGAAGGAGAAGGGGGCATCATGCCCTTTTGTTATTGAATTGTTATTAAATTTGTATTCTTATATATGTCTTTCACTTTTGTTGATCATTTGATATATGTGTAAAATATTTGGATATGATATGAAAATATTTTAAACTGTATAAAATTCACAATTGATATTTTTACTCAAGAATAATTAAATGTTCATTAACTAGTAATTTAAGGAGCATAAATGTATTATTTGTTATAGGTGGATTGTTTTGTCTAAATTTGCTTTGTTAATATTTTTATAAGTTTATTTTGTATTTGTAAAATTCATATTATTTGTTAAAAGATATCTTAACCCTGCCATAACTATATCAGTTGTCTCTATTGGCATTGTAGAGATAAAGGTTTAGAGAAAGTCCAGTCAACAAACCAGGGGTGGGGGGGGGGGGGGGTACCTGTAGGATTTAAACTGCTTTTCAGGCTTGTGACTCTACAGTTGATAGTACTTTTGTATGTATATACTGTTTCAAGCAGTTTATTTTATTATGTTTTATAATTTTAAGTTTTTATGTCTCCGTACTTAAGCAAACAGTAGAATATTATTGTACCATCTTGTAAATTTCTATGGTAAAAATGCAAGATTAGATAACATATTTTATTTCAAATTTTTAGCTAGAAATGTTAAATCTCAAGAAGAAATAATTCATTATATAAATAAGGGAAAAAGATGTGTGTTAAATTTCTAGTAAAAATAATAAATTTAGTTTAAATTTCTAATCAATTCTTAAAATTGTGCCCCTGATATCTACTTCATGTGCTTTTTTCTGAAGAGTTAGACGAATTAAGAAAAAATGTATTAAATATGATTCTAATCTATTGTATATAGAATAATATAAGTTAATAGGCTAGTACCGATAAAACGATATGCTATATGTAAATTAACAATGTCTTTAACAGGCAGTGCTGAATAGTTACACACAGCAAAACAGGTATTTTTAAAACATTTGCAAAGGCGCTGTGCATTTGGAATTTGGCCGTGTTAGATAGGAACGATCAAACATATATAACGTTGAACTATTAAAGATACATTATGTAAGATTTAGATAAAGACCTGATCATTACTTGCTATAATAGCTAAAAAAATTTCATTCGATTTACTTCATTCTGAGCCAAGTTATCACTGTTTGTAGTTTTGACTGTAATTTTGACAAGATGTGTGCATTGTGTTAACCAGGGCGCTGGTATATTTGAGACTTAGCCTCGCTTTCCAATTTTTCTTAAATGCCGAACTGTTCTAATCGTGTTAAAATCTCGAGTATCGAGAGTTGATTATGGTCTTGTTTTGTTAATAAATGTCTAATTAATAGTTTATATAATATACTGAGCGCCATGGAAAACGCATCACTTAGTTTTTCGTATAACAAAATGATCCTGTAAACATATCTTATTTATTTTGGTTCTTATTGTGAACAATATTCAAATGGGAACACATCAATAACAACACATTTGTACACTTATGGATGTTTAATCTGTAATCAAGGGTACAAAGTCAGAGGGGTCAAAACCAAAGGTACGACACAGATGTCAGTAGCTCGTGTGTCCTCCACAGGCCATCATCACGGTAGGCTACAGCATTAATGCGACCCCTGCAAATCTGTAGGGCGGTCCGGTGATGAAATATGAAGCCTCCCCACACCATTACACTTCCCCCACCCCATCGATTCGTTTCGAAGACGCAACAGTCTGCAAGACGTTCCCCAAGACGTCTCCACACACGTTAACGGCCATCGGCGTGATAAAGATGAAAGCGACTCTCATCACTGAAGAGCACACTTTGCCAGTCTACTCTTCTCCATGTCTGGTGTCCTTGAGACCATATCAAACGCCGCTGACGCTGATGATCCCTGAGGATAGCTCTAACATAAGGTCGTCGTTCACAGAGTCCTACTTCTCTTAGACGATGTCTTACGGTGATGGCACTTACTGGTCCTTGTCTTCCGACGACTGCTGCACCTGTTCGAGTCGCTGGGCGGAATCTGTCACGCAGATGAGTGACCCGGATGTAGCGGTCTTGAGCCTGGGTTGTAACGCGTTGTGGACCAGGACGTTGACGGTCACGTGTTGATCCAGTAACTCGAACACATTCCACCAACCTTACAATAGTGGACTGATGACAATTGAAGTGCTGGCAATAGCACGTGTAGACATGCCAGCCCTGGACATTCCCATGGCTTCATTCCGTTGATTATCAGTAAGTCTCGGCATCTCTAGCTCGATTCCTTCATACGTTCAACAACAAATTACGACAGATTGACGTTTCACAGTTCATGTACTGCACATTAAGTTGAAAACATGCTTTTAAAGGGTTCACACACAATGCTGCACGTGAATATTGGGTTTTTCATGTACACCTCGTGCAATTTTTTTTTGTGCACACGGGCCGATATTTTTTGTGTTTGGGAGCATTGTGTGAAACAATAGTTCATAGTATTGCATAATATTATACATACAAAACCACCTAGTAATAAAATATTTGGGGAAAAAAAGTGATGTGTTTTCCATGGCACTCAGTATATTTCAGGCCTAAAGAAAGACCTGCTAAAGGCAGATTTAGCTCTTGCATAATGTATGTTTAAAACCTTAACGAATGTATATTTCTCATAAACCTCTGATCAGAAATTATTGTTGATGTATGGATTACAACAAAGAGATCATTTCCTGTTTATACCTACCTTTTAAAAGAATTGCATATAAGATGCATGTATTGATTAGTTTTATGTGTGTAATATGTACCATATTAAAAGAATTACATGTGTATTTAACAGTTGAATTTTGTTCATCTATATGTGTTATTTTGACTGGTGAAAATGTAAATTCTGGGGGCATATTCCCTAGGACTGATTAGTGTTGAAGTGTTCTTTACTCATTAGAGTTAAAACCTATTATCACCTGATCTGTGTTCATGAATGTGGTGGTAAAAATTAGGTTGATGTCTTGGATTGGTTAGATTAACTCTTCCACTAAGTCTAAAGTTCCAATTGCTGGTGTTTTATTTATCTGCAAATATACAGGAATCACACCTATAATATTGCATAGGCATATCTGTTGAAAGTAAATTGAACATTTATTATTTCTGATGTATCACCGGATCCTGTTCAAATATTAAAATACAACAAGGGTTTTACATCAGAGATTATTAAGAGATGGATTGTCTTTGCTAAAGTTGATTAGAACATCTTTTGATTACACAATCTGTTTAAATGTCTAAAACATGCACAAGATAATTTAGCTAATTTTTTAATATGGTGTGCCCCTTCAGTTACAGTAAGTAAGTAATAAGTAATTTGTTTATTAAAGTGACACACATTGCACACAATAATATATATAACATCAGGTTAGAAAAAAGGTTACAAATTGGAAAATATATTAAATTTGAAACTCCTGGTCATTTTCCATAATTAGTTTAATTGTTCTGTCTACCTCTAGTTATTAGTGGAGAACTATATAATGCATCTGAGACCAGCAGTTTTAAAAAAAACCACTTTATTTTTTACCTCTAAACTTAACACTAACTCGCTGTTTTGAACTCAACCAAATTTTTAACATTATCTTGGCTTTTAATTACCAAGTGAAGTGAATCCAACTCGTGTCACTCTATTATTTCCCTAATCTCAGCTCTTGGAAGTTATCCTATTTTTTAACATGGGCTCTACTATCTCCTAGGGGTTAACATTTTGTCGAGGTCAAAAGTAAGATGCAAAGTATTATCTTATTTTCATAAAATGCTGTTATTTTTTCGTCTAATACCATTATTCAATATTAAAGTCCTTCAATATTTATGCAAAACACATAAAATCTGATATTTGTTGGGGTCAATTCTTTAGAAATCATGGAAGCAGGATAAGCTGAGACCATGTTTGAATTGGTTTCGGGTAACACAGTGTTGTCTGGAGACTCTACCTTTAATTTTATCCACAGTTATATGAAAATAAAGCTGTAATTATCTCCCTTTTTGGCCTAGCACTTTATTTGAGGTCTAAAGTTATGAAAATAGTTACACCTATTGTAACATTACGTCATAACTATTTGCTCCAACACTGCATAATTTGACCTCACCCAATGTCCAGTCCATATCGCTTTACGAGACACATTTATTCACATTTTTCTAAAATCAAATCATTACAAATAATAATTAAATAAAATTAATTAATTAATAACATACATTCAGATTAATCTTCCCCTTGGTTACATATCTCCTTGCTAATACATCCGCTAATCTGATCTTTACAAAAACAAAAAATTAAAAAGAAGTGTTGAACCTCGTATAGAGATAGTTGTTTTAATAATCCATATACGGCTTTATGTTACAGTTTCAGACGTTTGAAAAACATCAATCATAATGATCGATATTTTAGAAGGGCGAGTTGAGGAAGTTTAATGACGGCTGTTAAAGATACATTATGGGAGATTCGATAACGAGTTGGCAGTTCCCACTATAATAGTTAAAAACTAGATAATGTAAAGGCAATTTTCTGAAAATTTCATTCAAATTGACCCACTATGAACCGAGAACAAAGCCTTGGTCATCATTATTAAAGTCAGTACGATAAACAGCATAGTCTCGAATATTCATTTAATCGTTAAATCGCGAAGGAAAGTTATGCAGTAATCCGCTCAAAATCCACTAAAGATCGCAGGCTCGGATGCCATCAAGAGTTGATTATAGTCTGGATAGGTTAATTAATGTCTAATTAATAATTTAGATAACATTTCAGGCCTAAAGAAAGACCTGCAATAGACAGATTTAGCTCTTGCATAATGTATGTTTAAGATATGTCAGCCAGCAAAGAGAGACTCCACCCCACGCACATGAAGCAATAAACTTACCATATAATCGTATTCACGCGTAATAGTCATGCAATTAAATTGCATTGTTACCACTTAATTTTTATGCAAATAAATTCACGCTTAACTTTCATATAATTAATTGGTGTCATTGTAACCTTTATAGCTCTGCTGTACTCTTCAAAAAAAAAAAGTAGGGGATATTGAAATGCAAATACCTATGCAGGCTGTGATATGATAAATAGTCATGGACACTTGACATGCTTTGAGAGATGTTCACAGATGAAGAACTTATCGCCCCAACAGAACCACTGAGCTGTATGTGCGACACGCAATAGCGCCATACACACGTGGGAGGGATTCATTGTCAAATTTGACACTTCAAGGAAGGGTTGATGAAAACTGCCGCGTGCTGGTTTATCCTATCCATGTTTGCTTTCCTATCGGTTCTTGCATAAGATTTACTGTTTAGCGGATCTTTGCTTTAGTTTGTTACGTTTAATTTGCAACGAGACGTCTCCAACCATACTGCACCCAGCGATCCATCTACGTCATACTCAGGTGGAGCTAGCTGTAGACAGGCAGCCTAAGTTTGGGATGGTCTTCAACATGATGAACGTCTACGTGCTATTGGCATGCTTCAAATAGGTTCCACACATCGAGCCAACATGCTTAATTACACCCCAAACGATTAAAAATCTGCTACATTCAGCCCATTTGCACGCGCGACGACCGCGTGTTGGGCCTCCATTAACTCGCCAGCACACGGCAAACAGGCGTCAATGGTGTAGGCAGCGTAGAAATTGGGGTAATCGTCGATGGGCGCGTGTAATGTTCTCAGATGAGTGGCGTGTAAATGAGCGTCATGCTAACGTTAACGTCAGACAGCATGACAGATTCGAGCGCGGATCTGTTATGGTGTGGGGAGGAATCACCATGACTGGCAGAACGGACTTGCATATTGTTCAAGGAAGGGTCACTGGTGTGTACTACCGTGACCACACCCTGGCACCGATAGTTCTGCTCTTTGCTCAATGTGCAGGTCGACGTTTCATCTTTCAAGATGATAATGCCTGTGCCCACTGCGCTCGTGTCGTGAATGACTACCTCCAGCGTCACCATATTGTCCATATGCCTTGGCCAGCCATGAGTCCTGACCTTTCCCCTATAGAGCATGCCTGTGACATGCCTGTTATTAACATACACTAGTTACTTCTAATAAAAACAGCAGTGCATTTCCGCAGTTTTATATTGTTTCTGCATATCCCCTACTTTTTTTGAAGAGTATATATAGAAATAAATTTTATGTTGAAATTTGTTGTTTCGTTAATGTTTTTAAATGAAGTACGGCATAGTTCAACGTGGACACGAGTGTTGACATTGTCCCGTAGATATAAAAATCTTAAAGAACTTTTATTGCAAATGGTAAGTGATTATTGATGATCACCTGATAAAAGTATCTAAATGTGAGTAAGGCGCAAAACAGATTTTCTTGTATACTGTTTTTATTACTGTCTGAACCATTGTAAATTTTAAACGGATTTCTTCGATTATGATCAAACTACTTATCTTTGGTTATTGTAAACTTACCTGTGTGTTTGAAATCAACTCCCGTTAAATAAAATCCATTGCACAATTTAATATCCCAACGAATAAAAAGGTTCTCTCTTGAAACTTGAAAAAATTGACGTATTTACTTGTATTTTTGACTGAGTTCAAGACAACATGGCTTTCCTCCCGTGTTGGACGAAACCATTGAATCTGTTGCGGGGTATGACAGAGATTTTGACAACGCTGTCTAAGCAAATGCTTTTTGTCAATCATAAATAAGAGACTTACAAACTTCCTTGAGGATAATAATGTCATATATGATGCACAGTGCGGATTTCGTAAAAATCATAGAACTGTTGACAACGTCATTATTTTAAAAACATTGATTAATAAATGTAAGAAGGAAAAAGCTAATTTGTTCTTATGCGTCGTCGACTTCTCTAAAGCCTTTGATTCAGTTTGGAGAAAGGGCTTGTTGCTAAAATTACTTCAGCATAATATCAATGGAAAAGTTTTCAGTCTAATTAGCTCTCTGTATAACTATACTTCTTATACTGTGAAAACCTTAGATGGTCTGTCAAAAAATATAGAATCGTCCTTGGGTGTGAAACAAGGATGTGTCCTTAGCCCGACCTTATTCAATATATATCTAAATGACCTGCAAACTTGTTTAAATACATTTAATTTAAATTTGGACAGCCCAGATCTTGACTCGCATGAAATATCTCATATCCTTTTTGCAGATGATCTTGTTCTGTTATCCATATCATCTGTTGGTCTTCAAAATTGTCTTGTATGTCTCAACTCTTTTTGCACTGATTGGAAAGTGATGCTTTTTAATAACAATAAGATAAGTCTGAAAAACAAATCCCAAGTGAAATTCTTTTTTAACAATCAACTGCTCCAAACTACTGATGAATATCTATATTTGGGAGTCTATATAACGAATAACGCATCCTTCAAAAGTGCGATAAATGAATTAAGTAAAAGGGCTAGGAGGGCATGGTTTGGTATCCGTTAGAAAGTGTTCACCGATGATCACCTGCCAACCGAAGTACTCATAAGACTGTATGAAGCAGTAGTGAAACAAATAGCTCTGTGTGCCTGTGATGTATGGGGGTCGCAAATAGTACATAGCAGAAATGTGAATTTACACAGATGGAACTATGTGGAGCATAATAAAATCACAATAAAAACTTTCAAATCCATTTTACTCCAACCCAAAAAATCTTCAAACATAGGATCATTGGTTGAACTAGGTATTTTCTTCCCAATTCAAATTGATATTTACCAACGAATGTTGCTATTTTATAAAAGATTAAATACACCCGACATAAAACGTACAAATCCGTTACTATCCGCCGCATATGTGGAAGATATAGAAATAGGCAAATCCAATCCCAAATTATCATGGTCAGCAGCAATATCCTCCCTCATGGACCAGTTCAACTTATCTCCCTTGCAACTTTCAAAATCTAACATTCAACCGGCCATAAGGTCCCAATTCAATATTATTTATAAAACCGAATATATTTCTGGCAATTCAAAACTTAGCACTTATGGCACACTAAAACCTACTATAGACTATCCGGCTAATTATTTGCTTCATGTACACAATAAAAAATTCAAGTCTGCTATGACCGCACTACGATTGAGTTCCCATAAACTAGAAATAGAGAGGGGCCGGTACAAGAACGCCCCCCCCCCCCGATATGGGACTATGTGCACTCTGTTCCCTCTCTAAAGCAGAAACCGAATTTCACTTCTTAATTGAGTGTCCACACTATCAATCTCTTAGGCTAAATATTCTTTCTGCTACATTCAGTAACAACAATTTGGCCATAACGTTTGAAAATCTATTTGACCCTCCCCCTTCAGTTTCTGTGAGTGTATGTCATTATATATATAAAGCATTTCAACGTAGAAATCAAGCCTCGACCAAATAAGGTATTACAAGGCAAAATTTCACATTTTATTTTTTATCTTATTGACATCTATACATTTTTGAAATAATGTTTCTGATAGATATTTTCACTTTTAACATGAACCTATGTATTTTATGTTTCGTATTCTTATAAATATATATATGTATATTGCTATTTATTTTATGTCATATGTTCCTTATGTCATGTACATGTATATGAATTGTATGCGGCCTGAAATGGGTGTTATGATACAATAAAATCTTATCTTATCTTATCTTATCTATATTAAAACAAAGCGTCCTCATTTCGATCGTTTGAGTTTGGGCAACGAAAAATATCAACTGAAGACAACTTTGACCGTATTGTGATATGGTGCAATATTTATTGTTCATGATGAAAATTTAAAATTTATTGTAAATAATACTTAAATCACACCATAGCCCCCACCTTCAATAGAAGGCTTAATCTCGCTTTAACTACGTACATCTTATCAGATGTTGTAAAACTCATAGTCGTTGCTTCAGGAACATGCATATAGCCCCATAATTTTAAATACCTTGTACATGTACGTCAATCATGTTATATATCAGATTAAAGATATTCATGGGTAAAATTTAAGACCCATAAAACGAATGTCATTGTTTTTGTGTCGTATTTGTGTTCAAAAGAAAATTCATTCTCCCGACTCTAATCAAAAATATTATTAAAACAAAATATTTCAAAAGGTAAAAGCTATAAACCTTGCAGAGATTTTACTAGAATGTTAAAGATAGTGAAATGAAATGAAATGGGGTTTAACGTCCTACTGTTCTGCTCCTATACTGGGCTAATGAAGACGGGCATACGCCATACAGTGTAGTTAAAGATAGTAACAAAATAAAGGAATACGGGCAGTTATGTGTGTGAACGCTCAAACTCAATACCGAGCCGGGATTACACAAAACATGAATTGTCGTAAAAGTACCGCAAACCGTGACATCTTGTTCCCCTTTATACGAAATGATCTCTCCCGAAGAGTGACGTAATCGGCTTCCATTTTGGTATGTCAAAAGTTTGAGGGAATTCAATTTTTTCAAGAGAGAACTTTTTTATTCGTTGGGATATTAAATTGTGCAATGGATTTTAATTAACGGGAGTTGATTTCAAACACACAGGTAAGTTTATAATAACCAAAGTTAAGTAGTTTGATCATAATCGAAGAAATCCGTTTAAAATTTACGATGGTTCAGACAGTAGATGGATTCCTTCACAGGTACCGGTAGTTCAAAGAAAGAACATAGTCCATCCAGTTTGGTTGAAAATATGGATGTAGCCTACTGTAATTTGCATCAAAAGCTTAAGAACAATAAAGGATGTTGTTATTTGAAATCTTGAAATGAGAACTAGCATCAGGTATTATAAATATTTGAGTTAAAATAATTTTAGGCGTGTCCGGTAAAATATTCTTTTTATTTTTTTTTTATTTTTTTTTTTGTTCCAAGGATTAATTACGTCACTGGCCCAGTGGGGACAAAACCACACCTAAATAAACCCAGAAAGTTCTTTTAGAATGGTTTGCCCCGTCCGTGGTTTAGGGCGGATGGACTCGGCTCGGCAGTCTGCCAAAGTTTGCCGGGTTGGATGCGTTGGTTGGGAAGAGCGTGTAGTTGTTCGGCTTCTTGAAATGCGATGGAGGGTAGGCGGATACAAGGCTGTTGCAATTCAATGAAGAATGGGTGGAAACGCCACTGCCCAAGCAAAATTTCCCCCATAGCACACTATGTTGCGTATGCCCGTCTGTATTAGCCCATTTGGTGCAGGAAAGTAAGACGTTAAACACGACATATCATTTTATTTCACCTAAAAATGATTTTTACTTGTGATGGATACATTGATATGCATAAAACAAGAACTATTTTTATGTTCACGTCATATCAATGCTCTCATTGTCGTAAAAACATATGTTTCCCATAATTCCCGTAATGGCGTGTCATGTAACCAGGGTGACCGAGATACAAACACCAGAATTCATTGAAAGTCGATACAGAATGACGAGAATGTAAATCAATTACATAGAATTCTATATTCAACGATAAAATGGAAACCAAATGACAAGAAAACATGAATTCCTGAAGGAATAAATAAAGAAACCATTAATTTGTGTAGCAGAAACCAAGAAACATAGTCTATCAGTTTCAATTCTTCTAGAAATATACGTAAAGCGAACCGCAGAAGCAATATTTACCTGAAAGGTTCATTAATTATGTATGGAGAGTATTGATTGGATGGGTAGAACTATTGTCTCTGGGAACAACCAATAATCAGAGTCAGTCTAATTAGTACCAGGTTGTGTCTACATACATCTGAAACGGACAACACAAATCACTAATGGCCGACAACCACAGGTAAAGGTGAGTCTTCGTTTGTTTATAGTGATTTTGTAGGCTGATTATAGGGCCACGATAGGGCCACATTTTAACTTTTATTGAGACATCAATTACTTGGATATGCCGATATAATTATATATATTCGTATTTAATTACGTTTTATAAATCAATAGTGGAATGGACAAGAGAAAGGTACATTTTTAAATAAGTTTAGCTTTCATAGGGCAATGCCAGTTCCTTGTGAGGTATGCTACTGATACTCATAATTCAAAATATTATTTTACAAAGATAAATATACAAAACTTGTCCTACAGATGTTAGTTGATTTCAGATACAAATTGATTTCGTATCGGCTTAATTTAGTAGTTTCTAAATAAAGAAAATGTCGATACAATTGTAACCCATTTAAGTTCACTAATATGGAAAAAAAAAGATGTTGAAAACTGAAAAAGTTTTAGCGTTTTAAAGATCTCGAATTGGAAACGCTAAAACATACCAGACCTTTTTAAAACAAATAAAAACGACCTAACCAAATAGCTCAGCTCTATAAACTAAGGGTGCAAGGTGTACTTGGTGTACTCCAATTGCCACGACATTGTTCCGATGCAGTGGCGTCGTGCCCATTGGGGCCCGGGGGGGGGGGCCTGGGGCCCCTCAAATTCGCAGTGAAATAAAAATATTTTTATTGATATTATTAAGACAGAAGACCTGTCCGTCTGTTTTAGTCATCACATGGTCTCCAGGAATTGTATAATTTGTCATTATCCGTGTTTAGTTTATTGCACTTTAGTTTAGATATCATTTGTTAAGGCCTCGCCATAGAGCTATATTTCTATATAACTCGCTTCGTACACTCTATCATTTAGCCTCGATCTAAAATTTCTGGGAGTTGATTTTGTGCTTGTTGTGTAAATCCCTATTTATGATTGTATGTTGTATTTGATAAAATATCCATATACGGGTGTCAAAAATAAAGACTGAAAGCATTTTTTATTAAAATACAAATACATCTAAATACGTATTTGACCATGCATGAAGTTGTTCGAAATGTCCATTCAATAATTAAATCGAAGTTGAGATGAATAAAATATAATTCAGTTTTCGAGTGATAAATTACAATTATCACTAAAAAAAACGACCCATTTTTCAATCATAACTTTATTGTCTCTAATCCATCGAAATGGCGTTTCCCGGCTTCTAATTTTAAAAATTTTCCGGGGGAGGGCCCCCCCCCCCCGTAACCCCCTTGCATGCTCAAGCCTACTGCATTCGATGTGGGCGGCGCTACCGCCAACACTCTCCGCAGCCAGTAAATTTAATTTACCATGAACACACTTGCAGAAAGTTGGGCCCCCCTAAAAAAAATTTTTGCAAGACGCCCCTGTTCCGATGTATAGTTTTTGTGCTACGGACTATCAAAGTTACAATGTTATTTTTGCTCAAGGTCGCTGTCAATAGTTCTTCTTTTTTTAAAAAAAATATGACACAACTGCTTATAACCTAGTTACTTTAGTAACGTATATTAAGTAACTACTTATAACCAAACATTTTGAAATCTCAGTGCTTTGAAATACATAGCATTAACACAATCTGTTGAGCGGTTTGATGAACACATAATATACAATGTATAGCATGTTTTCAGAATGTCCTTACGTTTGTTTTTTTTTTTATGTAACTACTACTCGAATTGGGCTTTTTGACCGTGTAGGCCTACAAGGTCAAACAGAAAAGGGGAGATGACAATTACGTGCCCTTGGCCTATCAAGATTAGACCTTTCGTTGTCACTACCCCATTCCACTTTCTGTATATTTCCAAAGGGGTGATTCTTTTTCATGAAATCAAAGCTAGAGAAGTTGGGGCTACCCCTGAAAACCCAGCTTGACAATCCTGAGTTTCTTCTCGGTCTACACATTGATTCACACCGAAGACATTTTAATCGAGAATCCGATACACTTCCCACTGGCTACCGCAGACCCCACATGCAAATTGGTTATAATATTTGTTTAGGTCGACTACATAAGCCCCATTTGTTGAATCCCAAGGGTAAATAATAGGCTACTGTAACTGGGTCGATCTTCTTTATCACACTTATTGTTTATATTCATTCAATAGACGACAATATAATTTAGAAAATCCCACATCTGTCAATAAGATTATATGCCAACACTCTTTAACCTATTGATAATCACGTGGATATTGTACTGATTGTGGCCCAGGAGTGTAAATGGTCTTGATTGTTTCATTATAATATTTGATTGGTCTAAATGTACGTTTATTTTATATGTGATAGATTAAAGACAACTGTTACTTTCATTGACCCATCTGTTCGTCACATACTGGGGAATACCGCCGACATAGGAAATTGACAGACTGTTTCCATAATTTCTATTTTTAAAGCTCTTGTAACCACTGGGAAGTATACATGGAGATAAAACGGTACGCCGATACCTCGCTTATACCACACGCCCAAAACCCAGCTTAAACGGAGCGTGGCCCTGGGTCAGTTATGAACTGAAGATCTCAGAGTAAACGAGTGCGAGTTTATTATATGGACCAGAAACCGAGCATGAGATTATTGCACCATATTGGAATTGTGATGTCATATATGTGCGCAATTGCCCAAGGAACAGGCATGCCAAGTCAGCAAGTTTTATGTTGATCGTGCGAAGCCCCCCCAACACCAAGATGAATATAGCATTTGTGGACAAGTTTCTAGTCCAGAATATAATTTTCAATTTGTCTTGAGTTGATTATACAGTCACATTGAGTTGTTAAATATAGATTGGATAGATTTGGTGAATTGGGCAATCTCTTACTGACTTTTAAAATGCCCTATCAATTTACGTTTATTTTCTGGTAGAAAGTGATAATACCTCTTTAATATTGAGACTTTTTAAAAAATGATGTGCCTAGTTTTTCTAAAAACATTATATTATTTCAAAATTACAGCATGATCTTATATATTGATTGTTAGTTGATGTTGCATTAGAGTTTTTGTATATACCTATCAAAAGAGAAATAACTTGAAACTTGACTATCTCTTTGTTTTACAGAACACGAGGACACAAAGATAGAATGCTCATCAACTAAGAATAAGAACTTTGAGCTGTTTGGACACGTTTAGTTGACGTCAAGGTAGGATCATGTTTATTGATATTTTCTCTATAAGCTGATGAGTTATTTTATTGATCAATGAATCTTCTTGACTTACCGCATTTTTATCTGTCCAATAACACAAACACATGGGTATTGTACAAATATGTGATAATGACTGTTAGTTAGTTAGTGTTAGTTGTATTTTACGTCCGCTTCCACCGAGGTGATATCGCAGATATCGCAGATAATGACTGACACCAATATTGTTCTTTAAGGCTGGCAGATTAATTGGGATTGGGGAGTGACGCTTTAGTCAATCTGTATGCTGACCAATAGTAGGCCCATATACATTCTATGTCATGGAAACCTCAACTGTATTCTGGGATACAGAATTTGGTATACAAATTCATGTTACCTCTGGAAGTGGGCGTAAAATACAACTGACTCACACACTCAGATTCTCATTATCACCTCGGTGGAAGTGGACGTAAAATACAACTAACTCACACACACACACTGAGATTCTCATAATATACTTTACCAACGATTAAAACAACTGTCTTCTTGTCTTTTAAGGTAAACAAAAGTCAATGTATTATTCGCCTTTAGTTTATCAAGTTTTAGATATTAATTTTTATTCTTGTTCGAATGTTGAGATAAGTATGCCTGTTTTTATTTATTCTACAAAAGCAATTAAATCGATTTTATCGATGCCGTAGAGTAATCCATAACGCTTTTGCATATAAGCTTGTGTTGCAAGTAATAGTCAGCGTCATAGTTTAATGATTAATAGTGTCGAGATTTCATTTCATTATTATTGTCGACTCAATCATATATGACGTAATGAAGACAGTCATGTAAATTGTGCTTCTTCACATGCCGTAGACTGGAATAGCAAGCCCGCTTCTACAGCGCTTGATATCCGTGTCTACGTATAAGCTAGTATCCCGAAATATTGTTTAAATCCCCCAATTTATAATTACACAAAAACACATACTTAAAGCGATAATTTCATATTTTTAAGTTATATTTTTAAAATGTATTAAAATAAAGCCTTAAAATAGATGGTATCTATAAACAGTCCTACCTTGTTAAAGAATAACCCTATTAATCCTATAATTCACTATTGCCAGTTGAGAAATTGGCAAAAATACCATTTTCAACTTCAAATTCAAACGTTTGAAGATAGCTATTCCATTGGGGGAATAGAAAAACAATGGAGGTAATTGTGTTATTATTTCCGGGTTCAATGATTTCTAAGTGTGAGAATGATACCTATGATCGTATAATAGTGAGTTGACAACCTATTGAGCAAAAGACATAGAAATAATTATGTTTTGACTTTCTTAGAAAATATGAAATTCTCGCTTTAAGGAAAAACGGCTTCTTTTTTATTTGGGCGTTGTTTCGAAGAGTAGTCTCTCAACGTTATCAAACTTATACAGTAATAGAAGAATTGTGAGATCAACATATACAGAAAAACTATATTACTGTATTAGCTTGATACGTTGAGAGAATACTCTTCGAAACGTCGCCCAAATAAATAAGTAGCTGTTTTTCCATAAGTATGTGTATTTGTGCATTGCTCTATCCAGTTTCTAAATGCCTCTAAAAGATAAATTTATAATTACTTCTTGTTTATCTAGTTATTTCTATTGCTCTTTTGTTACTGGTACTTATGATTATGTCAGTTATATATATATAATATACTTTACCAACGATTAAAACAACTGTCTTCTTGTCATTTAAGTTAATTAAGAAACCCTAAGAAACCCCCAAAATACAGACTTGCACAGTATTATAGTTTTTACACTTTGAAATTGAGTAGGTCCTACAGTTATCTCAGGTGTTTTCGTTTACTCAGAACGGATACTTTAGGATACTACCGAATTGTTTATCCCTAAACCTAACACAGACCCTTGTGCGCGCCGTGGAGTATAATTATCAATTCAACTTTGATTGGGTCACATTAAGGAGTGAGCACACCAGAACACTGCTTTGGAATTTAATAAACCTATAGATTTCTCAAAAGGTTTTACTAAAGCAGTTTGTGTCTTTCTTTTGTATTGTTGACGTGATGCCAAAGAGCTGTTTGAATTAAGCAAATTGCCAGCAAAATAAAAAAAAAGTATCTTTCAGTTACAGTGTGATTAGGATAGGCTGATAAAAAGACAGAAACATGGGTAATTGTGGATCCAAGAAAGAAGATAAAAATCGTACGTACCACCTTCAGACTTTAACTAAACATGGAGGGGGTATTAACTGTATGGCGGTCAGTGAGGACGGAAGTGTTCTTGGAACGGGTGGTGAGGATAAAACGGCTTGTTTGTGGAGTACAAAAACACAGGAATGTGAATGCATTGGTATTTTACAAGGACACGACGAATACATAACTTGTATACTTATAGAAGATTGTTTCGTGTTAACGGGGTGTGCTGACAAAACAGTTCGTAAATGGGACGTTGGAACGTGTGAATGTGTCTTGATTTTGAAAGGGCACACATCTGTGATATATCGTATGATTTGTACTGGAGATTTTATTTTTACCAGTTCATACGACAGAACGGCACGATGTTGGGATTTCGACACTGGAGAATGCATCCGAGTTTTTCGGGGTCACAAAAGAGGAGTATATCCTCTGATTTTTATCCCCGCGGATGAAGACGAATTAGAGAGTGGTGATTTGGACAGTGACATTTTGATCACAGGGTCTGCAGATTTCACCGCCCGAACCTGGAACTTTGAAAGCGGGAAAGAAATTCGGGTTTTTAAAGGACACAAAGGCGCCGTCACGTGCATGTCTGTTGACCCGACAGGCCGTGTTCTATTTTCCGGAAGTACTGATTTTACTGTCAGAAGTTGGGATTTAATGAAGGGGTCAGCTTTAAAGACATTTGAAGGTCACCAAGGATCAGTAATCTGTATGCAGGTAAGTTTTAAACAAAATATTCACAAAATGTTCGATTGTCCGTTTCGATTATACATTGCCCGTTTCGATTTTTCATGGTTTAATACACGCTAAATGAACTAAAATTGGTTATTTCACATTATGTAAGAAAAGAAAACCAAAACAGCAACGGTTGATGCTTCCCGTTGTTAGTTTCATGAAAAGAGACCTGTCCACGCTAAGTGTACTGAAAATTGATTATTTAACATAATATATATATAAGAAAACAAATCCACTATAAATTTACGCTAATTAATTTATAAAAAAAATAATAACAACAGTAGATGCTTTCACATGTTGGCTTCAGTCGGATAGAAAGATGACTTCTCTATATTTGTTTATATCGCCTAAATGCTAAATTTTTAATGCTCTATCGTATTTTTGTGTAAATACTGAACGGAAGTGAACCATATTTTGGACTGATATTCCTATGAAATTCATCGTTCAACATATTGTAGTTTGCAAGGGATCCCAAAAAGTTTCAAATTAATGATCAGCAACTTATTTCAATCCTTCACTGTATGTACGGTTACCCGACCGACTCTATTTTACAGAACAAAACTCGCCGACTCTAAACCCCTTTCTCAATTTCCAAGATCCTAGAAATCGGTCTTGGCGTGGATTCCAAGACTGCACAAATTTCGGTACTTACAACATTAGAATTACAGCTTCGAGAACATAGAAATGATCCTATAATAAATGTTGAGAAATAAATAATAAACACTTTACCGTAGTTACTGAAGCCAATAGTATGAAACAGTTACTTGTACATGTAATTTATTAAAAGATTTTTTTTTATCAGGATGTCTGAATGGGATTGTGTAACAGGCTTGACCTATGTAAAACCCCTCTCCCTAAAGATTAATTTATTAATTCAGTTAGTTCTATCCCTTCTTAACACCTTACACCAACCCCACGAGAAAAACAAAGAAAATAGAAGAGTTTCCGAGTGACTAACCAAAAACACGGGTTTTAGTTTATTGGTGAACGTATGCCTATTCTCAGACGACCGAAAAAATTTGGTGGGTTACAAAATCGCGGGATATGATTTGGCAAGGCCACCTAAAATATTTTCAGGCGCCTAATACCCCCCCCCCCCCAACACACACACACACACACACGCACACGCACACACCAGATCTCTGCCCCGCATACATGGCTGTCTTTCTCGCACATGACAATACTCGGGCAATATATGTTTCCCATGGCGCTTATTTAGTTGAGCATTTCTGCACTATTTCGCTTATGGTATCCTCATATGCTGGAACCATTTGTATCCTATATATTTAGTTTGGGGTCGAGATATAACTGTTTAAAGGAGCTAAAATTAACAGCAACTCGCTCTGATGCCACAATAACACGACCCAGTGTGTTATATAAACACAGTGGTGGGAAACTTCATTTCAGCTATACCTTTAAATCAAAAGCACTAGGCTAGAGACTCTCCCACCCACACCGCATGTGGTTCTTCAATTTAATTAAATCCGCCACTATTCCCTAGTTGAAAGGCGAGTTGCTATGTTTAACGCGTGCGAGATCGATCAGATGGTCTGTCAGTAAGTCAAGTGGCGTGACAATGATAACTGTCGCCTGTCCAACCTCGTGGGTTTTCTCCGGGTCCGCGCTGTATCATAAGGTCTGTCATTGAGTCAGCTGGCGTGGTTTCGATTCCCCGTGGGTTTTCTCCGGGTCCTCCGTTTTGATCCCATTGCTAACGACCCCTACGCGCATGCGAATTATTGAAATAAAAAATTGAACCATACGTTAGGCTCGAAATGACCTAGTTTGTGTTGAGTGGATGTTAAACCGCATTTCTCTATCTCCCTAGCTGATGCCCCCCGTCAGACCGGGTGGCGTCCTTACTGCGCTGCTGCGACCGTACAGCGACTAGAAAATGCACCAGGTCGCCGGCAAACTTAAAGACAACGCGAGAAATTGTCCACAAAAAAGTGGAAAGTCTCGTTCTTTACCCCGTCAGACCAGGGTGGCGGCTTTACTGCGCTGCTACGGAGACGGAAAATGGTCTCGATTGTCGCAAATGATCGCCGAATCACGGCGTTTGTTTTGAGCATGTTCAAAACAAACGCCAAGGTTCTGCGATCTACCCTGGAAAGATGTGAAAACGCAATTTTTTTTCAAGTTTGTAATATTTTGGGACATTTTCGTACGTTATGTTCACGTTTGCCGTCGACTTTGTGCATTTTCTGGTCGCCATACGGTCGCTGCAGCGCAGTAAGGACGCCACTCCGGTCTGACTGGGGCCTTACAACTTTCCAGGTTAGATCACAAATCCTTGGCGTTTGTTTTCAACATGCTTTAAACAAACGTGGTGATTAGGCGATCATTCACGACCATGGCGACCACAGCACGATATCTGGCGTTTCCACCACGCGTTTACCGCGGTTATGGCGATCTTGGCGCGCTCTGCGACCATTTTCCGTCGCCGTAGCGTCGCAGTAAGGACGCCACCCCAGTCTGACGGGGGTATGAAAGACATTTCTTTGATGGATTTAAATAATATCCATTACTATGATTTTCGCTCTCTTTGTTTCTATTTTCGCTTTCTTTGTGAAACGAAGCGAGGCCAATAAACTATTAACAAATTCCCACTTCGCTTCGTTGACATAGGATGATTTCCAAAACATCGAGAAATTATTTATGACTTTTCTGTCTGTGAGGTCATTCGCCATCATTGAACCGACTCACCGAGAATAAAACAGTAGTACGATGTTATGAAAGCGGGCATAAATATTTAAGTAATATAAGACAGGCCTGTCTAATTGTACCTTTAATGGGGTTTTATTTTTGTTTTATCGCGTGAGGATCCTTCCATTTCTCACCATTGGTTACCGTGATTTGTCTTATAGGTTTAAAAACATGCTTGACTGACAATTTAATACAATCAAAGTTAAAACACAACAGGAATCAGCACGCTTCTTGATATCTATGTTCAAACTCTTGACTCGTGTTGCTTTTCTGGGGGAAAGGTAATGTCCACTCGACACAAACTAGGTCATTTCGGAATTAAAATGCGCTAAGGTTCTTTAGCAATGTGATCAAACCGGCCGGAGGAGCCAGCGATAACCCACGAAATTTTACAGGCGACATAATTCCCTATCACGTACAAGCTGGGAATCGAAACCACGCCACTTGAATCAATGACAGATCGTATGATCTAAAGCGCACGTTAAAGGTGGTAGAACGAAAGAGCCCGTTTTATACGGATAACCACTTATGTAATATACTGAAACATAATATTCCAATTATTTGCCGGGTGTGTCATAGTCTCATTCTCTTTAATACCACCGTCAGACTGGAGTGGCGTCCTAACTGCGACGGAAAATGTCCTCAGAGCGCGTCAATATCGCCATAAGCGCGGTGAAAGCGTGGTGGAAACGCCAGATATCGTGCTGTGGTCTCCATGGTCGTGAATGATCGCCTAGTCACCGCGTTTGTTTTAAGCATGTTCAAAACAAACGTCAAGGCGCTGCGATCTAACCTGGAAAGTTGTAATGCCCCCCGTCAGATCGAGTAGTGTCCTTACTGCGCTGCAGTGACCGTACGCAGAACCTTGGCGTTTGTTTTGAACATGCTCAAAACAAACGCCGTGACTCGGCGATCATTTGCGACCATCGAGACCACAGCGCGATATCTGGCTTTTACCACGCTTATGGCGATCTTGACGCGCTCTGGGGCCATATTCCGTCGCCGTAGCAGCGCAGTAAAGGCGCCACCCCGGTCTGACGGGGTAAAGAACGCGACTTCTTTCAAGTTTGTAAATTTTTTGGGACATTTTCTCGCGTTGTGTTTACGTTTGCCGGCGACCATGTGCATTTTCTAGTCGCTGTACGGTCGCAGCAGCGCAGTAAGGACGCCACCCGGTCTGACGGGGGCATTACTACCACCACCACCCCGAACCCCTATATATTACAAATTATGACCAGTTATTTTTTTTCCCATAGATTGGATATCAAACTAACAATCGGCATCGATTTCTGACATTAAACTGCGGTAGATTTACAGCACTTCTTCTAATTTTAACTCATTTTGACTTGAAAGGATAACGTCAGTCGTATTTTTTTTTATATTTTTATTCTTTCAAGTAAACTAATATCTAATTTTAAATTAGTTTTACCCACGCAGAAGCTCAATTCGAAATTGTTTCAGCTTTAACTTACAAATTAGCACGCCGGATGTAACGTCATGTGCGTAACTGTCTTGTCCAGAACTCATTCTTGCGTGATCCACAGATTCAGTTATTGAAGTCAGTCGCCAGATGGGGATATCTCGTATATTTTAGTTGCTCAAGTTTGCATTGTTTAATATAAATTAAAATTGAACACAGCTGATTTCGGCTAAAAAAAAATGTTTCGATCTACCTGTCCGTTGTTTTATAAAGAAGAATGGTTATTACTTTACATATTATGCTCCGGATAATACACAATTACCGTTTATGCCGTACATAACCCACCCCACCACCCGGGCACGGATTGGCAACATTAGCGGCATTTTAATGTTTTAAGAGCACCTATCTCTTTCAACCCTCTCTCTGAGGATTCAACCCACTTCAAAGTTTGTTTCCTTTAGAGACAATCCTGGTGCGGCTTGTAATGGATTGCATGGAAAGACTCTTTTATTAAGCCGTGACTCTTTCTTCCAGGTTGTTAATAAGATTATGTATACGGGTAGCTCTGATCATACAGGGCGATCTTGGGTTACAGAATTTGGCGATTGTACCCGGATATATAAAGGACATAAACACACTGTTAGTGTTATCAAGGTGTTCGATGGATTAGGTAAGAACTTTTTTTTATTACAGCTATAAAACATTGAACTCAGGATATATTTCATTTATTATTGTTGTGTGAACACCTATCAGTACCCCTTTAATACGAATAAAATTAAATCAATTAAAATAGCTATCTGTTGCACTATTTTCCGCAAGTACTCTTCAGCTGCCTCAGCTAAGTGGGGTACTTGAGCTAAGTAGGTTAAACCATCGAAGAGAGTGTATGTCAATCGACTTGTGCAAATGTATCATACAAAGTTAGAAGGGCGCTGAAGCTGTATGTTCACTGTACGTGTATGTGTAAAACTGCCAATGAAATCTACGGATGATAATTGACTTTAGTAGTTTTGAATCGCTAACGATTAACACGTCTTTAAATCAAATGATATGTATTGTTTTATTTATAACCAATGGGATTGTATTCCAGTCTTTACTGCATGTGGTGATTCTATTTGTCGATGTTTTGATGCTAAAAGCGGGGCGCCTAAAAGGGAGTTTAAGGGTCACGAGAACACAGTGACAGCACTACAGGTTTTTCTTTATTACAACCAATTCAATTGTTACTTCACTGTTGTAGTTTACATGTTTACACTGTCTTAGATAGAAACAACATAAATATCAAAAATGAACCAATTGACCATTGACATCCATAAGACAACATCTGAAATTTGCAAAGCAAAACTAACAGGGAACTCACGAATATGCTGAGTTTGTTTCTCTTTTGTGACTTTTCGTCCGATAAAAATTGTCCCGAATCCAACGTTTACAGTGTGAAAGTTGGTCTTTACGCGCGTGTCGTACAGTTAATTTAGATAATTGATTTGTCTGGATTTTGACAAAAAATATGCTTTACATCTGAGATCGTTTAATAATTTAGTAGTTTTATAATGTTAGATGTTGTTGTTAGGTATAGTCAGAAGTCATTGGGTTTATAGGAATATTTTAATGACATTTTAAAGGATCATTAGCACGGAATACAGTTTTATTTCAAATTTTAATATATTTTATAGAAATGATATTATTTTGCTGTGAATGGGTTAGTGCCTGTAAATATATAATTATACATCTTGAATTCTGAGCCTAACAATAGCGGGTGTCGAGCACGAGATATATATATACTGCCTGGGACACCTGATATCACTTCCCATAACTCTGCCGGTGGCCTTTGAAAGGAGGTTATCTTCCATCCAGAATCCACAAGCTCCTGCAGGTCTAATGCGACTTAAGATAACGGTTTGCATATTAAATTTGAAACTCTGCCTGTTACTGGTCCTTGATAAATGAATAATATACTGCACTATAATATAGTCTGTGTTAATCAGTGTTGCACCGTTAGTATTCTCCACCATATTTTCACTAGTCAATAGTTTTGTTCTTTAAGTTTGATTCTGAATGTTCTATTAACATCTGGATAACATTGGGTTAACTCCTCTATACCGCTGAACATAGTTGTTATACGCCCACATTTTCATGTGGACGTATATTGTCGTCGCCCCTGTCCGTCCGTCCGTCCGTCCACAATTTGTTTGTGGACACTCTACAGGTCACAATTCTTATCCGATTTTGACAAAACTTGAAATATAGGTTTATCGCCAAAAGATCTTGGCTGCTTTCGATATTGGCATGTATCGGATCGAAACTTCATGGATTATGGCCCCTGTTTGTACGAAAAGTCACGTTTTTAGCTTGTGGACCCTATAGAGGTCACAATTTTTATCCGATTTTGTTGAAACTTGAAATGTTAGTTTATAACCCAAAGATCTCGGTTCCTTTCGATATTTGCGCATATCGGACCGTAACTTCCTGAATTATGGCCCCTGATTGTACGGAAAATCACGTTTTTAGCTTGTGGACCCTATAGAGGTCGTAATTTTTATCCGATTTAAAAAACCGTATTATTATATCACCGTTACACCCTAAGGATGGCTTAATTCGAATTTCATGAAAATCGGCCCTAAATTGACAGACAAAATGGCCACCCCTCGTACTGAAGTAGTGTAAAAATATGGTATATCAAGGGTGTGGACTCTATAGAGGTCACAATTTTTATCCGATTTTCTTGAAACTTGAAAAATAAGTTTATAACCCAAAGATCTCGGTTCCTTTCGATATTCGCAAATATCGGACCGTAACTTCCTGAATTATGGCCCCTGATTGTACCAAAAATCACGTTTTTTGCTTGTGGACCCTATAGAGGTCATAATTTTTATCCGATTTAAAAAAGCCGTATTATTATATCACCGTTACACCCTAAGTATCGCTGAGTTCGAATTTCGTGTAAATCGGCCCAAAATTGACAGACAAAATGGTTGCAGTTCGTTCTCAAATAGCTTTAAAAATATGGTATATCAAGGTTGTGGACCCTATAGAGATCACAATTTTTATCCGATTTTGTTGAAACTTGAAATGTAAGTTTATAACACAAAGATCTTGGATCCTTTGATATTTGTGCATATCGAATTGTAATTTCCTGAATTATGGCCCTTGATTGTAGGAAAAATCACTTTCTTTTTAGCTTGTTCTCTATCCAGCTCTCGAAAATGTGGGCGTATCCTGCCTGGCAGCCGCTGGTTTTGGTTACACATAGTATTTTCCAGTCCGTGTTGTATTTAATTGTCTTGTCTTACTGCATCGTTTGTTTGTTTTGTATTTTGCTGTTGTACAGTTATCTTACATTGCCTCTTAAATGTTTCTGGCTAGCAGTGCTACGACAGCTTTTAATCGCAAGAAAACAGACACCTTATCTGGATTTCAAGAATGGGGAGCAATACATAATTATTATACATTGATGTGCTCTGTTAGTAATATCCTATGCCTATACGAGGATGGCAATACAGTATAACTCCTTTCTCATCGGTTTTATATTACTTAAAAATAAAGTTATTCAATGCGTGAATATATTGTCATATTACAGTCTGCTCTAAATGTTTTGATTTAGATTGTGGAGCGTGGTTTCAAATCGATCAAACTTACTTGAATTTAGTATATCGATAGCGTTGCATGCAACAATTTGGTTGATTAGGATTTGATGTATAGACAAAAATGAATATGATTAAACTAACTACTAACTTTTCGATAAAAAAAACTATGTAAGATAATAATGTATTTCTTTTAGCAACATGTACATTTATAATTAATTCATAAAACTCGTGTAAAAACAAGTTTTATAGCCATCTTCAGGTTAGCGTATTCTGCAAATTGCCACATTACGTAAATTTCATTTTTTAAAGTTAATTGGTAACCATCCAGATATATTAAAAATACGTACATCTGGGGAAACCCATGGTTACAACCCCGATTTCCTTTCCTACATAACTGTTTGAAATGTTTGGACAGGATGGGATAGGATAGGGGTTTAACATTTCGTCAGTGCTAGCAGTTAGGCAGTTGTGTTTACACCTACTTTTCATCTGTCAGCGGTTCTTTTAAGTGCACTGTAATATGTACACTGATTGGTTTAACGCGTGGCATGGTTTCGATCCCCCGCTTGAACATGACAAGGAGTGTGGTCGCTTCTCCAACCTTGTGGGCTTTTTCCGAGCCCACCGGTTTCCTCCGACTGCTAAAGACCCCGCGTTGGACGAAGACCAGAGGTCACGTCTAGGCGGAAAGGCGTGGCACACATCACGGCATATCCCGTCTTCATTAGCAGAAAAATAAGAACATTAAATCTCATACCATTTTAATTTCCGTTAGACTACCTCGGCCCCCTTGACATGTATGAGTCGTGTTCATCGGACCAATCAAAGAATATTTAATACTAACGCCTATTTTAACGATTATATTGATAAACTCATATAATTTGCTGTAAGCCCATAAAGTACACAATTTACATAACGGAAAATCCTAACTAATCGATCCAGTAAGTTATTGACGCGTGATATACACTTTACACATTAAGAAACGGGTGTTTAAATTTACAACGTTTAGTGTAAAGTTGATTCTGAAATATATGTTAAAACTATAGTTTCAGTTAGTCATGGTTCGTGCCGTACTCTCGGCAGGGTAATCACTCTTTTTTGACACACGTATAATACTTCCCTTCCAGTTCGTATACGAGTGATACTCTCTTGTCAGTTGTGCAGGGTGGAAGGTCTGTCTGGCAAGGAGCAAGTGTCTAATCATCTGGATGGCGTGCTCTTAAAAGACTCCTGGGCAGTTGGAATTCTATAAAATGTAGGAAGAAACGTCACTGTCCGGGCAATGTTTTCTTCATAGCACAATGGTCGTATTCATTTCATTTCACTCATAGGAGTAGGCGCATAACTGGCTTAAAAATAAGGCGAATCAATATTCAGACAGTGTGCGGAATTTAACACCCATCTTTTAAAGTGAGGAAGTATATTGGCATATCGATTGCAAATAATAAAATCACACCATGTGTCATCCCAGTTCTTTTGTTAAAATTGAATAGATTAAGGTGTGGCTATTTACATTATATCGTCATACTTATTAGGATAATAATTTGATTAACAAAACTTGTTAGATAGTAGACGATATCGTCATACTTATTAGGATAATAATTTGATTAACAAAACTTGTTAGATAGTAGACGTATCTAACGTTTCAAAGGAAATACAATCACTCTCACCTAACTCACTCCACCGGGTTAAAATTAGGAGGTGTTAGTAAACATTAATAATTATTTACCAGTTCGCTGTCGCGATGTAATTGATATGATGTAATTTATGGGTTGGACTTGTAAATAGACGATAGATTTACAATTCAGTCAAACATATAATAAAAAGTACATTCATTCATACAGCACAGAAAATGCAAATTGAAAACAAGAAAATTAAAATGAAAGAGTGATGCATAATGTTTCAACACTAAATCCATTAAGAGGAGGTGGGGCTGTAAATCATTTGCCATAATTTCTTGAGTCAAACGGCTCGGACATCGTGCTGTAGCTCATATTCCATGTTTCTTTGAACTTCTTAAAATAAAAATATGGCGTTGAGGCAAATCAAACAGATATGAACATAAACGAAACCCCTTCATTACCCCAGTCGGTGAAGAACCATAGTAAATGAAATGAAATGGTGCTTAACGTCCTACTGTTCTGCTCCGAACTGGGCTAATGAAGACAGGCATACGCCATACAGTATGCTATGAGGGAAATTTTGCTCGGACAGCGGCACTACGGCCTACTCTTATATCGAATTTCAACTGTCAAGGAATCTTTTACGTGCACGCCAATGTGTACACGGGACCTCGGTTTTTCGTCCCATCCGAACGACTAGACAGCTGTCCTTGCCAGGCCGTCCGTCCTGCATCACCAGAACCATAGGACGTGAAACCCAATTTCATTTCATTTATAAAACTGAAGCATGTTCGTTTTTTGTAGAAGTCTTTTGTATTCTGCTTTTCAGTTTGATCTGGCTTTTAATGTTTTAACACACTTTGTATCAGCTTTTTTGGAGATCACATGGACACAGTTGATTCTGCACTTTTCATAACTAATAAATATGTATTGGGTTGGAAAGGAGGAATTAATGTGGCTTATTTTCTGTATTTAAAATTTTGCTCTTCTTTACTCTTCTTTGTTTTTCGCTTTTATGAAGTTTACACAGGTTCCGGCGACAACTCGACTTGCTGTTTCGATGCCAAATCTTCGGCTTTAAAACGAAAATTTGTTGGTCACGAATTGGCTATAACCGACGTTCAGGTAGACATCGGAATGAAAGCATCTTTTCTCTTTTCTTTTTTTTTTTAAACTTTTGAACTATTTATAAGCTTTTAACTTCACGATTGCTTTTTTGGAATGACATCCAGAATGTTTTTCCCTGACTAAATAGCATGTACCCCTAAAAATATTTATAACATTTTTAACTTCACGATTGCTGTTTTTGAATGATGAAGCTTTAATAAAAACTTTTAAAATATTTTCACAAAAATGTAATGTAGAATGTTTTCCCCTTAGATATTAGTAACATTTATATTTTCGACGATTATAACCTTTCAATAATAGTCTTGGGCCCTCTGAACATTTTTAAAGAGAGAATGGGGTTGAACGTCCACTCAATAATTCGCTTTCGCGTAAGGGTCTCTAGCAGTGGGAGAAAACCCACAAAGTTGGACAGACGACCCTACTCCATTAAGTTGACTTAATGACAGACCTTATGATGCAGCGCGCACAAGTATTTTCACGATACAATACTTTCCGTCAATATGTTTTCACCATTATATATTTGATTACACATTTATACTCTTCAAAAAAAGTAGGGGATATTGAAATGCAAATATGATAAATGATCATGGACACTTGACATGCTTTGAGAGTATGTTCACAGATGAAGAACTTATCGCCCCAACAGAACCACCGAGCTGCACATACGACACGCAATAGCGCCATGCACGTGGGGGGGGGGGGTCATAGTCAAATTTGACACTTCAATGAAGGGTTGATGAAAACTGCCGCGTGCTGGTTTATCTATTCATGTTTGCTTTCCTATCGGTTCTTGCATAATATTTACTGTTTAGCGTATCTGTGTTTTAGTGTGTTACGTTTAATTTGATCGGGAGACGTGTTCGTCGACGTCGACGTCAACCGACAACACTGCAAGAATTGGCCGTGGCACTGCAAGAGGAGTGGGTCAGATTGTCCCAAATCGTGATTGGACGGTTGATTAGGAGCATGCCACGACGAATTGCTGAATGTCTGAGGATTGGTGGAGCAATTACTCATTATTAAGACAAAAATCAACAACTTCCATTTTTACTTCTGACGGTGTATCTCTTTGCGTGTGAAATGGGACCTCCCATATGAACTGTTTATGTTCATGTGTAAGCAATTGGCCTGTTATTAACATACACTGGTTACCTCTAATAAAAACAGAAGTGCATTTCCGCAGTTTTGTATTGTTTCTGAATATCCCCTACTTTGAAGAGTATAGAAGAAGATTAGCTGTGTTTTTATTATGTTATGGTTTCTGGGGATATGTATCTAATTGTGCAGTGTTATCGTCTAATTTGTTTTGTCTATTTTTATCTTGCAGTTATCCTGTGTTATATATTAGATGTTGTTTATTAGATGCTATGTTTTCCTCACCATGTTTAAACAACCATTTTATTGTTGTCTTTCTTGGATGTATTTTTTATTTAAATGTTGTCCAGTTATATAACTATATTTTTTACAGTGTTCTTTAATGTAGAATTGAGCAAAGTGGCCATTTCTGTAACATAAATTTGATAAGCAAAATGATCAAATGATTGGCTTACATACAAAATTAATTGTTGGGGGGAGGGGATGGTCCAAGAAAAACCTTCGGGATTTTTCAAGCGCGATCTTCACTGCCTATTCGTCCGGATAGCACGAAAAAACGAGACCTATCCGTGTATATATTGACGTGTAGTTGATAATTGGAAATCGTAGAAGAGTGGTCGGGAACGCCGCTGTCAGGGAAAAATTCTCCTACATCGCGATACACACAAGCAAAATAAAAATGATCATATTATTTGTTTCAAAATGGCCAAAGTGTTGAGACATTTAACTCATTCCATTCTTTTATGAACATTGAAATATCTGTATATTTTAATTGTCAGTTACATTTACTAGATTGATTCAAAATTCTGCCATTGCAATAATAATTCCAGCCATACATTTACTTTTCTGGTTGCAAATAATGTCGCTTTCAAGATGGCGATTGTATTTCGTTTGGTCATTTTCTCTGTAATTACAGATTACAGATGCAGTACGGAGCTAATACAAACATAATTCATCGCCTGTACACATCTCATGTTTACTAATATTTTGTCGTAATGGTCGTAGTTATGCTTGTGCTTTAATTCATCGTTGGTAAATAGGAAAGACAATAGAATGGTGGTTGCTAGGTAAAATTGATTGGTATGTGCACATGTTGTATAGCACGATCAATATCTCCTTTCAGATGAAAATCATTAAAATTGCACTTAACTATAATCGCGAGTAATGTATGGATCATTTTCTATAAGGATAAAATCCGATTTGAAATTCTTCTTGGGGTATTCCTTAAAACTATACAAGCACCCAAATTCATTAAGGACGATCTCCAATGTTGATGTGTTCGAGGTTTCCGTTTTGATGTTTACGTTAAGATTGAGACACAGTTGATCAAATAATTTGACACAATAACCAGTCAGATATTATGTATGAATATAACACAAAAGACTGAGTTGTTTTTTTGTTGCTTTAATTCCAAAGTTTACTAAAAATATGAAAAGATTGTGGTGTTTTTCATACACCACCCCGCCCCGGCTTTTGTTAATTAATCTTTGTAATTAATAGAATCATTTTCTTCTGTCGAAAAGTTTGCCGTTTCGCCATATTTTAATAATGTTTTCTTTTACAACCATCATGCCCCCTTTATCTTGGATAATTTTACAAATCCATGATTATAGTGGCTTATCGAGGTTATATCTTTGAGATTATTTTAAAACAAATACAAAGCCGATTATCTACCTTTCCCGTCTACTTTGCGGAAATTCAGCCAGTTTATAAAAGAAGTCAAGCTGGTCTTGAAAGGTTCGATAAACCAGTTCTTGTATTGAACTATCCCTTTCGTAGTAACAATAATAACCTATGTTGATACAAAACTATAAGATAACCATTAATTTAAATGGCCTTTTCAAGTCAGAATCGTTCATCTATGTCGATCTAACCTTTCAAAATATAATTCTTCGTAGGAAACTAATTCAAAAGATAAACAAGAAGTCTTTGGGGCGTGTGAAAATTTCAAAAGCACTATTATTGTTAGTTCATAACCAAATAAAACCAGAAAAAAATTAATTAGACTTATTTTAGATACATGGAAGCAAAACAAAAAATGTACTGATTGAAAGACTGTTGTTATTTTAAGTAAGAAAGAATGGACTGGCTTATAAGAGAAAAGATGACAGAATTATTACCTGTATCACATATAATTGGTAATTATTGACTAGATTCACCTGTTGACCATGTTAATGAAGACAAACAAAGTCCCAGAGAAACATCAACCCGTTTTAACTTTAGCCAAATCTAATATGATGTACATGTATACAACTTAACGGTATGCTGGTTTTTCTTCGGATGTTGCATACTTTAATATTTTATCAGACGTTGTCCACCAATCTCTAACATAGTAGACAATAATCATCGGGTGGGTGAAAATTATGGGATCACTTTTAAAATGGCTTCCATCCGAGTATTCAAAATAATCACCAATGGATATTTCTTTCGACAGATTAGATATTAAACTAACATTTGCAGCCTTTTTGGCTTTTGATGAATTTGAAGGTACTTGACGGAAGTTACAAACGCAAGTCCAGTAGTGGGACATGATGTTAAACTATACATGTAGACCTATTCGTGTTTACACCATTATCATTTTGCTATTTTGTAAAGTTTCCGCCATCTTTGTCAAATCTCAACGAGAGAGAGAGAGCATTCTCTTCAGAATTGGAGATTTTTAAAAGTAAAACAAATTACTATTTTTATCATGAATTCTATATTGTAATTTAACATAGAACTACATTATAAACATAAATATTTTGTGACTTTATTTGCAATGAGTGTATATGCACATAGGGACCTGGTATAACAAACGTTAAAAAAGGAAACAATTATATTTGTTGAATTATAAGTATTTACATTGATGGCTTAGTATTACAAAATTAATCAAAAATTAAAACAATGTGCGGATTATGTAAAATAACGAGTTAGCTAATTCGTCTGTTTCTGTTTTGATTTTTAGGTGGTTGAAGGTAAGCTATTCACGGCGTCATATGACGGAAATGTCATGGTTTGGGATTGTTCAGGAATTAAAGACGACACCGTTTTCGGAAACGACGACGATAAAGACAAAGAAAAGGACAAGTTCAAGGAAGTGGAGAAATATGGCGGCGACATTATGCAAGTTGACAATAATCAGAATGGGATTAACCAACCAAATCAACCGACACCTGATAAGATAATGATAGAATAACTGATCAAGGCAACCAATAGAAAACCATTTTTGATTATTTTTAACTATGACAAATTTTTGAATATCAATTTAGATATTGACCAATGGACGCCTTGCTGCTATAACCAAACATATTTACAATTTTAGAGAAAAAAAACCGTACCTTTTCCTTGGCACTACATCCAGTGAAATACATGAATCAAAAACTGGAAATTGACAATAATATATACATTTATCTGACTACAGTGCACAATAGTTTTGAGTTACATATTTAGATCGATCATCAAAATACCTTTAAATATTTGATCATGATTACATTTTCCATTAAACTCAGTGTGATATAAACTTATTGGTCGGCTCATTTTAATGAAAAATACGTTCTCTTGGAGACCATATAATGTATGGGGTTGGTAACACGATATATTTGTATTTAAGATAAAAATCATTGTTTCAACATCATGTGGTCTTATTTTAATTTTAGAAAATAATGTTACACGTTTTCTTTTTCGAAGGATTTGAGCTTATTTTCCTCCAAAAAGTTTAAATCCATTTAAATAGTTGTAACTTTCTTGGAGGCTTCAGATCATTAATTTATCCAATTTGTGACCTTAATGAAACGATGGATACACAATTTGGAAATGTTCGTATTCGAAATTGTTTATTTAAAACTTCTCATAAGATCAGCTCAAGATGAACGAAAAGATTCTTTTACAGGTTAAAGCGACACAACCTAACACTAGCAATTAACTACTTTGGATAAATCGATAAATAAATTACTTTGAACATGCAACTGATAATTGGACGTTTTTTCGTTCCGTATAAGTTATTCCCAGAAGATCTAAAGTCCTGCTGATTATATCTCATTTAATGGAAAATAATATTTTATTTTTTTTATTTCATTTTACTTTCTGACTGATGTCGTTGATACCCAATCGTTTCGGTTAAAATGATAAGATCTTAGGGGATATTTGATAAATGGCAACACTGACTTTTCTGTAGTGTAATTATTATATATTCAAATGCACTGTATTTCATCAATTTCCTTCCGCTTTATTTCAAAACTAATCATGCCAATATGCTTTGGTGATGTCGATTAGTTTTAGATTTGTGCTGATGTTAAATTGTTGTGGTATTTCTTTAAGATATTTAGACGTTGGTTACATTTGAGCGCGGGCGCATTGTCCCTGTAAAGTTGTTTTGGTGCAATCTGAATGTTTTTTAATATCTAACAGTTGTTATTTTATCGTATGTGATATATTTGTTTATTATACATGATGTTCGTTAAAACTGCTGATGTATTTAACTTTAAAGATACAAACATATATATATTTTAATATGAAAAAAAATATATATTTTATTTGTCAATGTAACTTTAATTGCACTAATTTTACAATATTTTGCAATATATTTATGTCTGATGTACATAACTTTTATCAAATCTCCGTCCAGACTTTCTAGTGGCGCTGGGTCTCTATATTTAGACTTGAAACCACTCTCAAGTTCTGTTTTGCTGGTTCTTATATTTTACATACTTTAATATATATTTTGAAAATGATTTATAATATTTCTATTTAACTGCTGAAACTCCATATTCATTATGTGTTCCCCCAAATTTGAGGATTGGACAAATGCAAATTGGGAATTATTATTGGTCAGATAATCTTTATTAAATCCATGGCAGGTTGGAATAAACCCTTCTGTGCTTTGCGATATCATAAACCTTGGAGTAGACCACAGCAGAAGTTGTAAAGACATTCTTGTAATTCTATGATTTCTTGTGTGTCTTGCTGTTCATGCAACTTTTAATTAGAGCAATCGATTTATCATATGCACATTATGATCATTTTGATCATTCGGTAGGCATATATTGTTATTGTATGGACATGGATTTTGCCATTTTATGGACATTAACTTTAGTTTTATTGGTTATTTTATGTCCATGAACTTGATTATTTTATGGCCATGAACTTTGTGTTTTCATGTACATGAATTTTATTGACATGTGTACATCATGATGACCCTTAGTACTTTTCTCCTATATACTATGTACAGGTGCACAGCAAAGATATGTTTATTTGTTATTTTGGAAGACATGATACAGTGTACATGGTATAATATACTTTATTATTTTGACATGCTTCTTAAGATCTAGAAACTAATCAATATTTCAATCGATGGTCATTACATTTAAAGTAGCTAAGTCTCTAACTCAATATCATCAAATATCTTCGACATTGAAAACACGAATTATTTGTCCATTCAAATCAACATTGGTCTTGTGATCTTACAGGGAGAAGATGGGCTCCTGATATCCAATATTCAAGACAAAATAAACATTTTACCATTGTTACACGTATCGTGTACCATAATGCGTTTCAGCGCCATTTGGAACAAAGGACTCAAAGAACAGGGCTAGACATATTCCACAAGTCACGTCAAATAGTGACGCCATATTCTTATCTGGAGTGCATGCGCAATAAATAACATCGGTGTAGACTGAAAAAAACAGACGCTAAAGATTGCCATTCACATGAGACTTCTGGCGTATTTCGCCGAACATAACTGATTAGAAATTACAGTAAAAACAGAAATGATTGAATGTAAATCAGTTTATATACATTCATATTACATTATTATATGCGTTGCGACCCATTTTTGTCAATTTCTAGGTCCCAAATATTAGCGATTTAGCTCCTTTAAGTTAGAATTGGTCGATTTGAATATTTACTTAGGATTGAGTAATTGACTATCTTTGAAACTGGCAAGTAGACCATCTAAAAAGAATTCAATTGCACTGTGTTCATGTACTTTGATGCATAGTTATACTTTTGTGTAAAATTGTAAATTAAATTGCATATGTTTATACCATATATATTTGTTATATGCAGGAAACGCATAAACTAAAATAATGTTATATTATGTATTAATTCAAAATTGATGGTTGAATCTTTTTTGTAAACATACATTAGAAATATCTTTCTATATAGATCTGATCAAATTTTAAATTTTTGTTGACATTTGTTTGACCACTGGAAAATGAATTGTATTGAGAAATATTTGAATAATGTGTTGTTCATGTACATACATATTAATGTTATTGTATTTATTGCATATTTTGCATTGAAAATTAACTCTTCAACTGACAGTTAAATATATCTTAGTCCAGTATAATTATGTCATGTGTTTAGCCCACAAACTTAAATTTTATCCGAAAGTGTATTTTAATCACCAGGAAAAACGGAATTATTGACTCATAATACATGTAAGTTAATTATTGCGTGTGCTGCGGTTTTCGGCCACCCTTCGTTCATAATGCACCGGGGTTTTTTTTATGCAAAATGTGGTTGTAATTCTTGAGATATTCGTTGAGATATATTTGTTTCGATTGTTTGAATATATACAGCTCAAACTAATAACCATCAATCCTGTAAATCATATTTTGCATCTCCACTGTGGAGGAGTTTGTATACACTACTGGTCAATAACTGATGTTCTTCGTTCGAAAGTTCGAAACATAGAATTATATAACTCGAAATATGTTATTTTTGATCCTTCCGGAGAATATTAAGGGTTGTTTTAATATTGCTTAATTTATGGCGCGACTTGTACAGTAGCCAAATGCTTCCAGGGCCACTGCATGTCAAATAAAGTGACTAATAAAAAGATCTAGTCTTCGGGTCAATCGACAAAAAAAACCCCCACAATTATTGATGCACTGGTTCGTGGGATATGTACTCCCTAATCATATGGTAAGAACAGCCAATTTTGGCAGCTTCGCAAATTTCGCTTTTGGCAGATCCAATTAACTCGAGATGGTGAGGTGGTTTTCTTTCCTTTTTTGGCCATGTTCACTTTAATCTATACTATTCAAAAAAAGTAGGGGATATTTGATTTTTAAGTGTTATTAAAGTCACCTAATGAAACTGACGAAGAAACAAATGACAAAATGAAATGAAGTTCACATTCATCGATTTATTCCAAATGATCGTTAGACTAAGTAAGGCACAGACTGACCATTATAAGGGTAAAATGATACCCGGGGTCAAACAGCAAAGTTACCACAGCATCACAACCAAGTCAGTAACGGGTAAATCCTCCTCTGTTTGCCAAACAAGCATTGATCCGACGTGGCATACTCCTAATGAGACGTCTAAGGTCATTTTGGTCCAGATTGTCCCATTTCTGTTGCAACGCAGCAGCAAGTTCTTGGACATTGGCAGGACGTTGTTGACGTTGACGTAACCTCTGTCTAAGCATGTCCCAGACATGCTCGATGGGGGAGAGGTCGGGACTCAGTGCTGGCCAAGGTAATGTGGTGATGTTCTGTTGTTGGAGGTAACCTGTAACGATCCTGGCCCTGTGACATCTTGCGTTGTCATCCTGGAAGATGAAACGGCGGCCATGACGTCGTGCGAACGGCACAACATGGACTGCCAAGATGTTGTCCCGGTAGTACTGGCCTGTAACACGCCCTGCAACAACATGTAAAGCCGTTCTTCCAGCAACAGTGATGCCTCCCCACACCATAACAGAACCACCCCCAAATCGATCATGCCTGATGACGTTAACGTCTTGGAAGTGCTCGTTTCGACGACGCCACACCCTCCTACGTCTGTCCAAAAAATCAACAGTGAACCTTGACTTATCTGAAAACATCACATTGCTCCAGCGTCGATTATCCCAGTGTTGACGATCACTACACCAACGACGTCTTGCCTGAATGTGATGATCTCTCAAACAAGGGATCACGCGAGGACGTCGGGCGCGAAGGTGACCCCTATGCAGTCGATTCCGAATCGTCTGGTCACTCACTCTCACACCAGTGTCTGTTTGAAGACGAGCGCTGATCTGATTTGCTGTGATGACACGATTTCTCAAGGCCAACGTACGGATAAATCGATCCTGGGCTTGAGTTGTCGCCCTTGGTCGACCTGAGCGTGGTCTGTCCTGTACAGATTGTGTATCACGGTATCTGGACCATAGCCTGCTTATGACAGACTGAGAAACATTCATCGTCCGCGCCACAACCGCCTGTGTTGTGCCGATCTGTAGCATGCCAAGGGCACGTAACCTTTCATTTTGGGTAAGCCGACGCATATCAAAATTTGTTTTCTGGCCACTAAAACAATAAACTGATGTTTCCACCCTGGAATTCAATGCCACAATGACTGTAACAATCAAAGTCAGAGTCGTGCAAATCTTGGGTTGGACCCCCATGATGATCCCAAGGATCACCTGCATTCCATGCGGTAGCTATTGGTGCGTTTGGGCGTCACATGTAACTGGAAATGTTTCTTCTGTTAGGTTCTATAGTGACTTTTTTCGTAGTCATTTGCATATTTTAGTATTATGCCCCCAAAATCAAATATCCCCTACTTTTTTTGAATAGTATAATAGACAACGTTTGCTGAAATGATCACACCGTGTTATGCTAACTGATTTAAAACTTCTTAATACGGTGATGAGTATACAGGAGGTGTTCACAATAATGACCTTCAATCATATTTCCAATAACCAGAAAGCAATAAGTCTATGTTATAGTGACTATAAGAACTTTATTTACCGCTTTTACTAACCTAACGGAGAGGTAATCTATACGATCCAATTTTCAATTGAACTTGAAATATAGGCCTACCTATTTTATTATATAGAACAATTTAAACAAACTATATTTCAACTATTCAGGTCATGTTTCTTTGTTTTAATATCGTTTGGAAATATGAAGTTTGTTAATGTTGTAGAGGCATTTAATTTGTTAAGAATATTGAGCTATGTAATGTTTTAATGATGTATTATATTATATTAAAACGAATAATATTGTCGATCTTTTCAACTGGCTCTTTTATTGATCAAAAAATACTAAAATGCACAAAATTATTGTTGTGGTTTGTTTTGTTTAGCTTTCGTTTATAATACAGCTACACCGGAAGCAAATAGACACAATGGTCATTGACGCTAGAAGCATATCGAGAAGCACTATAATTTGATTCGAAATATAGGGCCTATTTATCGTTTTTGATTAAATATGAACATCTTTGGATTTCCCGTCGGTTCGCTATCGGTAATTGCTAATGATATTATTGCGGACCAAGGGGAAGGCCAAGTAGATAAATTACAAAATAATAAACCAAAATAGAGCTGGTTCAATTATTAAAATACGCCAACAAATGAGCCCCGAAATCGGTATATATTATTTCGGTATTTTCGTCAAATAAAACCTTACTTTCTTGAATTTAAGTCGTTATTAATACTTAAATTCAAAATATGTAAACAAAATTCAATTCCAATGCTTTAGCTAAGCACCTCGATTGTGAGCCCCGTATTTGGTACCGTTAACCACGATGATGAGCTCAACATTTGATACCCTTAACGGATCCTCTGGGTATACACTATGATTCGAACCTGGTGCATTATATTTATACAAAGATGATACACTAACGCGGCTCCCCGCATAGAAAAATACTATTATCTTACCCATTTAATTTCAGATACAAACTAATATATTGATTAATAGATTTATATCCGAGTTCTTACACAATTCTATGCACTTGTTAGAATCCAAAATGATTGTATTTTTAAATAAAACAACTATATATGTACTTACAGGTGAATAAATATTATAAAAGGTTTTGTTGATTGTATTTTTGGTAACGGCGATCACCCCATCCACTTTGCTGTAACCTTCCCACTGATAGTCTTGGATGTCATCTTAAATTTCACCCTTCCTTTCCTTGGTTCAGTTTCAGATTGTCCATGGAGATAGACAACATTAACTACATGAATTAAGAATTAAAGAATCAAGCGGAGGGGACATATGAATATACACATGACCTCCCGAAGCTTATTGATTACTATTATGCTAACCGAAAATCGAGTTCGTGCTTCATCAAAATAATTTATGATTACAGTATAGGGACGTCCCTAGAGTATTAGAGCGGGAGCCCAGGGGGTTAACCTAGCTGAAAAGTGTACCACAAACTGTCTGGCAGTGGCCATTCATGACTCCTGTGGTGGTAATGAACAACTCCAAAGCTGGTTTAGGTGGTACAGATTTCAGCTAATCTAGCCTAGCTTTGGTCTAAATATTAGATAACTCTTGTCAGGGATACCCCACCACTACAAATGTCTGGCAATTACATAGCTCTGTCAGGGGTACCCCACCACTAGAAATGTCTGTCAGAGTGTTTTTGTAATACCTGAAGATGTACGGTACACTGCTGTATGATTTTCGTGTGGTACACTTTTGAGCTAATCTAGCCTAGTTGGGGATCATGGCATTTAGGGCGTGGAATACCACACCCACCACCAGAAACCCGGCAGACTTACATTCTGATGATACCAGATATACATACATTGATACCATATAGGAGAAAATTGGTACACTTTTCAGCTAGGTTGACCCCCTGGGCTCCCGGTCTATATTTGCCGGGATGTACTTTTTGTGATTTGATGGACACAAGTAGCTTAGAATGGCTGCTTTGTAGTGGATTATTGCCCATTCCCTTCTTATCTCTATTCCCAATCTGTTTCACAGAGGATTACGAAAGTCTTCTAATATCTGCTTTCAACACGCAGCGTCAATCATTGGCTGAATGGCGCGTGCATTGTTTACACATGACGTTACTGCTTCGAGCAGAATGCTGCCTTTTAGTCATTTTACACTAAACAGGTAATAATTTTTACCTACAAATACGTCAAACGTCTTTATTTTTCTAATACATCAAAAAAATGTTTTAGAGTTTAATTTGTCGGTGGAAAAAAGTTAATATTTGAGACTCATTAAGTCGCATTGATGTCATCCTTATCAGTGATTGTAGCGGCCTTGCGAATATTCACTGCTGATCAGTGTGCTCTATTCCATTTATAAATTCTAAATATAAAACTGATGTATCAGATTTATCGTTCATCAAATATCAGCGTTTCGTCTCTGCTTATGGTTACCTGCAATACAAAGATATCCGGTAAAATGACTAAATTTATATCTACTCCACACGGGCTAGCAAACTCTCGGTTCGGGGGTCGAGGGATCACGTGGCTAAGTGGGTAAGACGCTTGCTCGCTAGCCTGGAGGTCGGGTGTTCGATCCCTGCATTGGCCGAGAAAGTTCATCCAGATTTTCGGGCATGGTTTCCCCTTGTCAGTGATGCGGGACGGAGGGCCTGACAAGGACAGCTGTCTAGTCCTTCGGATGAGACGAAAAACCGAGGTCGCGTGTATACATTGGAATGCACGTAAAAGATCCCTTTGTTGGAATTCGATATAAGAGTAGGCGATAGTGCCGCTGCCCGGGCAAAATTTCCCTCATAGCACACGTATGGCGTATGCCCGTCTTCATTAGCCCAGGTCAGGAGCAGAACAGTAGGACGTTAAACCCCATTTCATTTCGGTTCGGGGTCAATGTCTTCGTGTGCTATGAGTGGGTCTTGTTAAAGACAGATACCCACGCAAACGTGGGAATACGCCCACACCGTAGCTGCATGTGTCTAAAAAAATAAATGATATCCACAGACGAATTACTGTATGACTTCAAGAAATCTGATCTCTGTCGTATTCTCAAGCTTTTTCAGACACGACCCCTGTAAATCAATATGGTTGCTCTGTGTTTTTCGGATGAGGCTGGAACGAAGGTCGCGGAAAGCAAAATAAGAATCACAGGGTCCGTCCTTTCACGACCCAAATGCTTTTCACTAAGTTCGAAAGGAATCCGATAAGAATGGTTTCAAAAAGAGGGATTACACAAGAACGGGGTATGTCGTCGACATTAGTACCGAGTCGATAGTCCCAAGTCCTTACAAACCTTGAGCTCCGTTCAAGTCGCCAGTTGATCAAATGAGCCAGCAATTCGTGGCGAATAAGGTATGTTAGACGGCCATGGTTAGACTAGAGTCCTAAGCTTTTTCAAGTCGCGAGTCGTCTCGACTGCCGAGCCGAGTCTCGAGTCGCAATAAATATTTCAAATCAAGTCGCAAGTCGCGGGATTCGAGTTCCCACCTCTTGGAGGTAACTACACAACGAAAGTTCGGGGAACGCTGAATATCAATGGAGTTCGTCCTCTTCATCGTGACCACAATGCTTCAGGCCGGTCCACAATAAGTTGCCGACAACAAAAATAATAAAACACTATCATGCTCTACTGTTTATTTAGCCCGTATTGTTTAACGTATAAAGATCTTAAAGAGAGAATAACAATTATAATACATATAGTCAGAAATAACATTAGATGTTCAAATACCTGAATACTCACTTTTAATATATAGATCCTTCTACAGTACACTAGGATGTAAACCGCTTTGGTTTTATGTAAGTTTATTTCTTAGTCATGGTAAACTGCCCGTAAGAATGTTCTATAGATAAACTATAGACTAGTTTATTTTGCTTATACTTATAGGTGGAAACGTGTTGATTTCACAGGGGATGATTTGTCCAATTGTCATGGTTTTCTCTTTCATTAGCAAAGTTATTTTTAAATGAGTGCTACCATTTTTAACAGCCATACTACCGGTAATTTATAAGATCACACTACACATGTATTGTATGTATATAGTAGCTCATGTATTGGTCTGTATGTCTGTACAATATAATATTAATAATATTTATATAATAAAAATGATGATAATGGGAATATAATAATAGTAATAATAATAAACTATATACATATGGATAGGTTAACAATCGCTTTTTGACGCTAAATTAACAAAAAAAAATACTTGAATAAATATTCTTCTTTGTATTCACAGTTTGATTTAATCAATAAACTTGTAATTAACAGTGATAATAATTCTTAATTGATATTCTCAATTAATTACTCTTACTCTTTGTAATTAGACATTTAAGTAAGCAATGCACATGTTGCAGCATCTTTTCTTGAGATCATCTGTCTGCCTCTAAATGGTAAAAATTTCAAAGAATTAGGCCTTACCAAGTGTTGCCAACAGTTTAAGAGTTTTTATTTTAATGTAATGGCTGTATTAGACCCACAGATGGGCCTTGCATTTAATTAAGCAAGTTTACCAAGCCACTCACTATAATTGTACACATAAATTAATTAATGCTTTTTTAAATTCATAAATAATTAAATAATTAACAAGGAATAAATTATTTAATCATTACATCTTAACAAAATAATACTAGAAATATCATTAATTATTTTTTTTTTCTTAAATATAGTGTATTTTATTCACAATTAATACTAAAACTCTCTCAATGTAATACTAATGGTGATAAAAGTACCTACATAATTAAGATTTTAAACCATTGAATCTATTTGTGAACATATAGTATAATTCTATTTTTATAATAAAGTATTCACATATTTATTCATATCACATGTGATGCTAATTCTATATTATTACATTATTAATGCATAAAATAAAAAAATAAAAACTTAAAAAGAAATGAATGCTGGCCATTTTGGATGCAATTTTTAGCCTACACATAATGTGCATTATATGATACTAAAATTTAACAATCCCATCCTTATAAAAGATTTGCTAGTAAAAGACATACTAGATAATTACTTCAAAGAGAAACTGTGTTAAATATTTTAACTTAAAAATTTACTTATTATAACTATTACTATCAGACAAATGTCATAATTTATAGAAAAAAATCATTTCTGCAATGAGGCTATCTTTTTAATTCAAATTTTTTGACCAAATCATTATGCATGTTTCTTTTTTTTCCATAAAGGAACATTAATGCAGTGCATTATTAGTACATATATGAAAAAGAAAAGATTTTTTATTAAAAATACCAAAGCAACTTAACAAATTTTTAAAAAAATATAATAATAAAAATATGCCGATAAAAAGTGAATTTTAGCAGATAATTATTTTGCTTAAATTTTTTAGGAAACTTGTACATGTATGTGGTAAAATCATGATTGGTAAATAATTTAAAAAGTTATTTTTTTGCCTACAACTTTTACACAACTTACATGTGGTTAAATATGGGCTAAGATAAAAAAAAAAGGAAGGTGATCGTCTGTAAGTACAGAAAAAGTAAAAATTGAGCAAAATAAGTAAAAAGTATTAAACAAACAATTAATGGTCCAGATTTACAGATATTATCAGAATAGTAAAGTTTTGTAATCTAAGAAATATGCCCCTTTTCAAATTTATCACTTACTGATAATTTTGTTCAAACATAGATCAACACATGAGGTTTTATTTCTAATACTTGTTTATACAATAAATTTAATACATCTTGAGTAACATACACAGTAAAGCAGGTTTCAATTTAAAATAAGTTCCAGTAGCAATGAAGTATCTCTGGTTTAATATATAATGCAATATATACCAGTATTCTTTGTTAAGATTTTTAGATCATTATTTTATATTACCAATTTCAGAGGACATTAATAATAGTGAAGCATAATATTTCAAAAAAAGAAAATCTCAAAACAAAGGACATGAATGCCAAATTACGACACGTCTTCATCATTCTGTCTTCTCTCCCCCTTAAACACAAACACATGTACAAACGAAGAGAGAAGGCATTCTTAAATAACACAATTAAATATATCACAATTTTAAATACAAATTTGCAATAAGGTGACATCACTAATTAGTTAATTAATACCGGTATATTTATTTAGTCGGAGGTAATGAAAAAAAAACCTGCAGATGGATTTTTTCACATTTGTAATTGTCATGTTTTATCTCTTTATCTATCACTACAGTTTATCACTGGTTCTTCTAAACTGGAAGGGAAGAATTCTTCAATTAAAATCCTGTTTTAAAAGATTTTATTACATCTTACTGTAAGACATCAGTAATTAGAGTCTTTCATATAGAAGACATTTATCAAATTCAGAAGTCATGTGACAAACTAACCCTAGCACGAAAATTAAAGAAAAGTGATATATTAATACCAGTAAGCTACATCCCTTCATAAACTAAAACTGCTGTTCCATCGACCACCTGAAACCGTTCGTGATACGTAAATAGCTTTCTGTATAATAGGACCATTTACTCATTGGGGCAGGCACTACAGTTGTGTACGTGACAGGCGTTTTTGGTCGGTCTATTAAAGGAGCCCTAGTAAGGCTGGTTTGGGGTGGTCTAAGTGCTAAAGGTTTAATGCATGCATCAAAACTAATGTTGATGAGAGTCATCTTCATAGTATCTGCTTGAAGGGAGGTAACTCAAATGACATGATCTTTGAACACCTAATTTATACTATGTTACTCAAAGCTAACAAAGATTTAAAGTTAGGTTTTTTTTAATCAGGCTCATTGGTAACAGGTGGGGCTTCAGAGTTCAGACACCCTCAATTATCTGCAAATATTTTTTCTTCACTTTAAAATTTTGACTTACTCTGGCAGCATCTGCCAGTCCACTCCCACCAATATAAATTTTGTTCCGATGGGCCTTTAATCTACTAGCAAGCAGGTAAGCTGTCAACTTTAGTGAAATTGCTATCAATTCCGCTGATATGCAGCCTTTATTTTCCGGCGATTTGTGTCCATAATATATAGTGCATAGACATAGTCAATTTGGCTTCAAATTTATGAGATGGAGCACTTACATATACATACATGCATGTACTGTACCTCTTCAGATTCAGTATCCTTACAAGTAAGATTAAACACTATTACAAGAGTTTGAAAAAGAAGCATTCATAATATATAACAAGGGAGCAAGAATTTAACTTAATGACAACACATAGAAAAAAACCCAAGATGTCTGTCTGTCCACATTTTAAGCAGACAAAGAATGACAAATTAAAAGGTAAATCGGTAAATCTGGAAAATAAAATTCCACAAAATTATTCTGGGATTAATTATAAACAGCTGCATGTGGAGATTTGCAAATGAACCATTCTATTATTATATTTACACTCATCACATGTTATAGGTCACATGGTTTTTCACGTGGTGTGTCACATGTTCGGTCACAATACATGGTATAGTATTCACATGTCTCGCCATAGTACAACACAAGATTTCACTTGCATTCATAACACATTCGCCCATAAATTCAATAATTTAACGATTTCTTTATTTCTTCATAAATTTGGGTTTTAAAGGAACAACCGGTGGCGACGACGGCGACGTTGAAGTTACCTCACAATTTGTAACCTTCTTAATTTGCATACTGGCTACGGACTCAGTCTTAATGCTATTTGGCACAGTTTGGCAGTTACCTGCCTCTGGTTTATCACAAACCGGGGTGGCGGTTGAAGACGACGATTCCCGTCTGCTCTCATCACCATCAGAGGGAGTCCCTTTCTCTGTCGAAATTGCAGCTCTCTGTTCACCATCTTGAAAAAGAAAATCATTTGTTTTTTTAAATATTTGATTATGGCTATGAGATACCGTGATACCAAACTATAGGAGTCTAAAGCTTCTTATAGTAAAATAGAAAGCATTTTATCATTGCAGTTTATCTGGTCAGTTAATTTTTATACGACCATAATGAAATATGTAGAATCAAAAATATAAAACTGCCATTTAAAACATGTCCACATATTTAACATTTTGTTAAATAAATTTTAACAGTTTCAAAGAACAGTTCTTCCGAAATAGGAAACAAATTTAAACAAGATGACTAGTCATCACCATCCCGTGCCCTTGAACTTGTTTGGAAGGCATAAGGAAAAACAACTTCTTGGAACATCAATGGGACTAGTCAGAAGATTCATACTCTGATCATAGTAGCTCGGCAAGGCAAAGTCGGTACTCTCTGTAAGGATTGCACAACAACCTTTGCCTACCTCAATCAGTTGCTGTATGTTAAACATTAAGCTTATACATCAGAAAACAAAATACTTTAATAGTTTGATGTTTTAAAAAGATTTCTCTGTAATGAAATATGCTCTACAAAAGAAATCAGGACAGAAGGAAGGTCATCAAAAAATAAAATAATAGGTTGATGAATGTAAATGTGTTATAAAGGTATCTTAAACAGTTTCTGGGATATGCTCTAGAATAATAATTATATACCAAAAAATAATTCAAATGTGTAGTAAAAATCATTCAACAGATAATTTTTTTCCATGGCAACGCAAAAATTATTAAATCCGACAAATTTCTAATTAGCAAATGGCACAACTACTGTAATAGGATGATGTGTGTTCAAAGTTTCAACTAGTAAGAATATATGTATTCTGAGCACAGTAGTTCAGCATGTCGGGGTTGTACCATCAGTTGCGCCCAGCATCTACATCTTTAGACAAATCTCATATTCCGACACATGGAATATCAATTCACAGAATTTCATACTCTGGTCACAGTAGCTCGGCAAGGCAGGGTCGCTACTCCCTGTAAGGTTTGCACAACAACCTTTGCCTACCTCAATCAGCTGCTGTATGTTAAACAATAAACTTATACATCAGAAAATAAAATACTATAATAGGTTAATGTTTGTACAAAGTTTCAAAAAGATTTCTCGAACAGATAATAAAATATGCTCCAGAAACAAAATCAGGACGGAAGGCTGGATTTCAGAAAATAAAATAATGGGTAAAATTATTTTAAAGGTATCTTGAACAGTCAAATGTGTTTCCATGGAAACACATAAAATTATCACATCTGAGAAATTCAAAATAAGTGCCAAGAAGATATCTTGAACGGTTTATGAGATATGCTCCGGAAACAAAATTGTACACCAAAAACTAAGTCAAATTTGTTTCCATGGAAACACAAAAAATATAAATCCCAGAAATTCCTAAATAGCCAAAGGCACAACTACTGTAATGAGTAGATGTCTGTACAAAGTTTCAAAAAGATATCTTGAACGGTTTATGAGATATGCTCTGGAAACAAAATTATACACCAAAAACTAAGTCAAATTTGTTTCCATGGAAACACAAAAAAATATAAATCCCAGAAATTCCTAAATAGCAAAAGGCACAACTACTGTAATAGGTTGATGTGAGTGCAAAGTTTCAGAAAGATATCTTGAAAGGTTTATGAGATATGCTCCGGAAACAAAATTGTACACCAAAAACTAAGTCAAATTTGTTTCCATGGAAACACAAAAAATATAAATCCCAGAAATTCCTAAATACCAAAAGGCACGACTACTGTAATAGGTTGATATGTGTGCAAAGTTTCAGAAAGATATCTTAAACTGTTTATGAGATATGCTCCGGAAACGAAATTGGACGGACGGATGGACCCCGTTTCAATATCCCTCCCTAACTTCTTTCGGCGCGGGATAATAACGATGATTTTTTAAGTTGATTACATCACTAAGTTGTAATGTGGCCGATGTTGTCACCCCCAATTTTCGATAATTACTGTCAGAGTTATGGTTATGGCCCATGCTCACTTGTAAAATCTCTTAAGCATCCAACTGACTTGAAATTTATACACAGTGTTTATGTTCTTGAGATGAAGAAGCCTATTTAAAGTGTTTTTTCTCTTGACCACTTTCATAAAATTTGAAGATGCTAAAGTTATCCTTCAATTGCCTGTAAGTTTATACAAACTGTTTATGTTTAAGAGCTGAAGATGATGATCATTTATTTAACAATTAATCACTGTCCTTTATTGCCCTGTGGACCCTCTAGTCACTAAAGTTATTCTCTGACACACAGTGTTTATGCTCTTGAGATGAAAAGGTCTAGTGAATTTTAAAAACTTCAGATAATCGAACAGCTGGTTACCATACATGTTTAGAATAACGAACGTTTGCACTAGGGATAACTAGAAGTTCACCAAATTTTAATTATTTCTAATATTTACTTCATGGTTTTAAAGTATTACTAATCATGCATGTTCCGACCAAAGTTATAACAAGCCAACAGTGAGGCTGATGTCTCCCACCAAAATCCCAAAATAAAAAGATGACACATTAATTAATCGCACATCTATTTTTGTTCAAAAGTATCAAGCAATCAAACTGATTATCAACTATACACTAAGTTTCATCACTCTCTATCAGATAGAATCAAAGTTATCTTGTCCAAAAGCATCGACCAAAGAAATTTCGTAGCTCTGCTTAGCTTTAGCTTGAAATGTTAATCATTGAACTCAGACCTAATGAACATCTACATCAAGTTTAAACATTCTACCATAATTAAAAGCAGAGTTGTTATGTTCCAAAGTCTTGACCAATCAAATTGCTTATCGCTCGGAGGGCCTGACAAGGGACAGCTGTCTAGTCGTTAGGATGGGATGAAAAATCAAAGTCCTGTGTACACATTGGCGTGCACATAAAAGACCCCTTGGCAGTTGGAATTCGATTTAAGAGTAGGCCGTAGCACCACTGCCCGGGCAAAAATTCCCTCATAGCACACTGTATGGCATATGCCCGTCTTCATTAGCCCAGTTTAGGAGCAGAAAAGTAGGACGTTAAACTCCATTTCATTTCATTTCCTTAGCCTAAGCAGAAATTCTCATCATCGAATTAGTGATGGTAATGATATAATGAATCTATACTCAGAGTTTCATCACTCTCAACCAATCAAATTGCTTATTGCTCCACTTACCCTGAGCAGAAAATTATCATTATCGAACTTAGTCAAGGTATTGATGTAATAAAACTATACACCTAATTTCATCACTCTTCACTTAATCAGAACTAAAGTTACTGTGTCCCAAAGCATCAACCAATCAAATTGCTTATTTCTGCTTACCCTAAGCAGAAAATGTTCATCTTCGTACTCCATCAAGGCATTGACCTAATAAACACCTACACCAAGTTTGAACTTCCTAGCTCAATTAGAAGGAGAGAAATTGTGATATTGTGTTCCAAAGTCTCGGCCAATCAAATTGCTTATCGCTCTGCTTACCCTGATCAGAAAATGCTCATTATCGAACTAAGTCAAGGTATTGATGTAATCAAACTATACACCAAGTTTCACCACTCTCACTTCATTAGAACTAAATTTATCGTGTCCCAAAGCATCAACCAAACAAATTGCTCATCTCTGCTTACCGTAAGCAGAAAATGCTCATCCTCGAACTCCATCAAGGCATTGACCTAATAAACACCCACACCAAGTTTGAACATTCTAGCTCAATCAACAAGAAGGAGAGTTATTGTGTCCCAAAAAGTGTGATGGACAGACAGACAGACGGACAGATAGACGAACCCATTTTAATAGTCACCTGCTTTCTTCGAAATGCGGGGGACAAATATGTGACAATTTGTGGACAGCTTGAATCACTTGGCTGCTGTGGGAGTATGTTTCATTGCCTTACATTGTCAACATACCGGTTTCTTTACTCCTTTTATTTACAATAGACTGGCTAGAAATTGTTTTCCAGATATATACATATTCCTTGTAGACCAGAATTTCTATTATATAATATCTTTTAAATCTTTTTAAAATTCCGGCAACTATCTGAAATATTTTTGGACCAGAAACTGGGACCTGAGCACTGCTCATCTTCTGCTTGTTCTTGACAGGCAACTATCTTCAATCAAGGACTAAGGCTACACCAATTCAAGTATGATCAACGTGAAAGTTGGCATGCTTGTTCCTTGGACAATTGCACATCGATTGACAAACTAAGATTTTTGACATGATGCCACAATTCCAATATGGTGAAGATGATGTCATGCTCAGTTTCTGGTCCATATAGTACTATCATACTTGTTAATATAATATTTTGTCACCTTATTTTAACCCCTGAAACAGCATGTCATTTATTAAATTTTGCAATAGAAATCTTCATATACGTGTAGAATAGCTACTTTATCTCAATGTTCTCCTGGTTTTGACAAAGTCGCTCATATTTACCTGTTAAACTTTTCTCTTTCCACTTTTCTTTATTTTCAATCAAACATTTGACCCAGGGTCTCCGTAACTCAAACCGACCAGCTGGAGAAAAATAAAAACATAAATCAAATTTACTGAAATCATTTTAACATATGAAATTAGTCGTTCTGAGACAAACGTACAATAAATTTTTATGATTGCACGGTTAATGAGGAAGAAAAACTTTGCCATGACGGCAGATCAATCAAGTATTTATCAACAATCAACACAAACTGATGAAATGACAAAAACTTCATGAACATTTTTGGGGGGTTTAATTGTCATGTCATATTCCTCATAACCATTACCCAAGTAACGTCTGGGTCTGTAGATAATATTTCTATAACTTACATAGTTCACCTGTTCTAGATTATATTTTTCTATAACTTACAGAGTTCACCTTTCTAGATTACATATTTCTATAACTTACATAGTGAAGATAACGAGGATCTAGAAGACGATCTATTACTCTGAACTGATGTCTTCTTTTCTCGTTCAAATACTTCTTCACTTATAGACTGATCTACGCTGTTAGATGGTTGATTATGGGGGTTTAATACCTTCTCTAACATGTCTCCCAGAACTTGTAAACTTGGATCAACAATAAAATCAATAAAACCTGTAAGAAAAATGTGGAAAAAATATTTCAATTATTCTACTCCTTGTTGAGCCCATAGACCAACTGCGCTACTACTACAGCAACATGATCTAACTATTTCAGACTGTGCTCAGTCAAAACATTAGAAACTAATGAACAACTAATTCAAGTTTGAACATTCTAGCTCAATTAGAAACAGAACTATAATGTGTCCCAAAAAGTGTGACAGGTTGAGCTATTACCACGGTAAACATCACCTACCTATTTTACATTGAGCCTGCTACCAGGATGGTAATATATGACCCACTTGTTTCATACTAAATAATAAGGATGGTAAAATAACCTGCCTATTTAAAACTGGACTACTAGCGTAGTAGCCTGATATATCTATATGATATCAATTAGGCTACTAGGATGATAACTATTACCTATCTATTGGGATTGGGATACTAGGATGGTAATCATGATCTCTTAGAATGATGACATGATCTTTTTTGAGACTGGGATACTAGGTTGATAATATGATCTTTTTTTGAGATTGGGATACTAGGTTGATAATATGACCTACCAATTTGAGATTGAGCTACTAGGGTATTTTTTCTATCACATAAAGGTGAAAAGGGTAATCCTAGTTCCTGTTCTCTATCACCCTGAAAGATAAAATCATAATTCATTCTTATAGAAATTGTATTTAGTTATTAGAGTCTAATGATGAGATTGAAAAACAATTATTTTTGATCTGGAACAATTTTGTGGTAAAACTGAGTTTTGGCTACATCAATTCAAAAGACAGCACCTGGTATAAAACAGTAAGTCTTTGGTTCGATATCGCCAATATTGAAAGAAACAGAGAACTTTGGGTTATACATTTAAGTTTCATCAAAATCGGATAAAAATTGTGACCTCTAGAGTGTTCACAAGCTAAAAACGTGATTTTTCGTACAATCAGGACCAATAATCCATGAAGTTACCGTTCGATACATGCCAATGTCAAAATCAATTAAAAATCGTGAACTGTAAAGTGTCAACAAACAAAATGTGAATATGTGCCTATAAAAATCCTTGCTAATAAGAATTTTCTGGTTTTGTCGGCGATATCACCCTAGGTGGAAGCAGACATTAAACACCTACTAGACAAAGAAAAGTTTTGACCAATTGAGTTTATATATTACTTATAGTTCCTACTGATTTCACATTGTTGTCTTTGTGAGATGTACTGTAACATTACTATATCTAAATCACATGAGACGTACTGTACTGTAACATTACTATCTAAACCACATTTCTCAATCCTTATTTTTCTTAAATGTAAAATAATGGAATTTCATACTGGCCTTCTGACAAATTGCCCATTTAATATCCTGTAATAAATAAAACAATTTAATTACCTGAAGGAAGAATTCTTCTAACAAGAAATCTGTCCACTTTTTGTGAAGATCCCAGTCTTTAGCCGGATGGCTGATATCAGCACAGTGTAAAACCAAAGACAAGGCTTTAGACTTCTCAATACTGAAATATAACAATAATGTATATTATAATTACAAATACAAATACCTGTGCAAACAAGACTGGAATCTCCGAAATATACAATCAAATTGTAATTGTTCTGAATATGAATTAAGTTTCTTCTTGTGCCTATATAAGCAAATTTTTAAAGGCACAAGTTACTGTAATAGCAAGATAATGTTGCAAAATGCATTCAGAAGTTTGGAATGCCAAACTAAGAGCAATTTCACCAAGTTTCTAAAATTTCTTTTGTGTATACATTTCTGAAAAATTCAGAATTTCAAGTGAGTTCCACCTTAAGCTAAAATGAACAATAATATCACCAAGTTCTAAAAAGTTCAATTTAAGATTTTGTCCTATATCCTGTTCACCAGCTTTAAAGTCACAGTATTTTCCGAAATTGAACTCGTCAAAACAATTGTGTTCTTGCTTATAACTAAATGAACAATCTTTGAGAATTTAAAAAAAAACATTGATATGAAAACTTACCTTTAGAGTATTCAGAAGAATTATGGATATACATATAATAATACATACATTTAGCAGTTATAAATAAAAATTTAAAGGCTCTTTCCTGGAATCTCCAACAAAGTCATCACTTACTTATATTTTAATCTCTAAATTTAAAAATTTTAATTCAAGAAAAACACATTTACAAATAAATTGTTTAGTACGTGCAACTTATACATACTTTTCAGGCATACTAAGAAGATTTTTCATATTCTTTATTTGCTGAAAGTGGAAAGACATGTCTGTGGCTAGTACCATGTCTATAACTAACGTTCTGAACTCTCTGGAAATAGATAAAATACATATTCAATATAGTATTTAAATTAAAATGCTAATTAACAGAATGGCTTGAATCCCTTATAATTTTTATGATTTCAATCATGCACACACTGACTCTCAGCAGCACATGGAATTTGAAGGACTCGAAGAATACTCAGATGATAAAGTGAGCACCTCAACTCTGTGTCACATGCACACAGAATTTCTAACAAACAGCAGATTTTAGACCTCTGGATTGCACAAGCCCTACCAAATGCCTGACTAAATTAATTTCACATGCAAAATTACAAAAGTTGTAGGATGCAAAAAGAAAATTTACCTATATTCTTCTTTGCTGAGATTATGAGCGACATTTAAATCTTCATCCTTCATAAGACGGAAGGCAGCACTAATATGATGATTTTCTAACACAGCTCGGTCATTATACAATAATGCTACATCGGATCTGAAATAAAAATATGCAAGTTATTATCATTGTGATGTTTGAACAGAAACTGGTTAATTTGCTACTGACTTAAAGGCAACTAAATGCACAATTACATTCTGGAGTTGAATCATTTTTTAAGTTTAGACAATACAGAAGAATAATCCTTCTACAGCATTGGTGGGCAAAATTTTTAGGTGAAGGGCTAAACACAAAGTTTTGAAAAAAAGCGAGGGCCAAACAAGAATTACTAAATACCATTTTATTGAATAAAGTAATATGGAACAAAGCACTTTTATTCGGCTCCATAGTTATATTCAGAGAAAAATCAAAGCATATCAAAAAAATCAAACAATAATATAAAATGAAAGTAGGCCCAATTAAGTCAAGTGACGTCAACTAGGCAACTACGTCATTGAGTGATGCTGCAAGCTATAAACAGACCTACACAGATTATTAATCCTACAGAGAGTAACACCTGTTTAGAATTTGGGTCCAACAATAAGCAATTTCGATTTTTTATTTCATTTAGAGAAAAAATCACTCATAAATTTTCAGATGTAGTTTAAGGTTCTGGCGGGCCGGATGATAAGGCTTCACGGGCTGGATTTTGCCTGCGGGCAGTAGTTTGTTCACCACTGTTCAAGAGACATTAACCAATTCCTTGGTGATGCATGAACATTGACTACGAGCTACAAGATAAATCCCTTGGTCATCTCCTAGGTGCTTTAAATTGGAATACAAAAACAGTTGAGGGGGATTAATCTGCTGAGTATATATTTGTACCTACCCTGTATTTACATGGAAGTTATTAGTTGTACCAGTATGTTCATAATCGTGTATTAACGCTGCTATTATTGTGGCAAACACTTCTAAATCTGTCAACCATTGCTAAGAATATAATAAAAGATTTATCAATTCTCTCCAGTAAATTGAAGTTTACATTATTACAGGATTTTCCCGTAACTATAGAACAAACATTTTCATCAGATGGTTATTTTCACTCTTCTTCAAAGTCAACTGCTAAGGGATGTCTTACATGCATTTTCAATTAGTCCCAACCACACCACTAGACACTATTTCATTATCTGCCTCAAGGACAAAATCTTTTAAAAGTGTGTATCAGGCTTAAAAAGCACTATCCTTGTTGGTGCCACAAGTCGGAACCAGGCTTACAAAATAACGAATTTTCTTCTTATGTTGGGATTTGGACAAGGATGCTAACTCTTGGGCTATAAGCCATAATCACTAAAATACTGTTCCCTAATCCTTCCCCTCCCCACCCCACCCGCTTCCTGTAAAGTAGGAAAGTCGCCTTATAACAAAGCAAAAATACTTACAGCTAATTTACTCTGTGACAGTAAATGATGAACAGTTTGTGCTACGTCTGCCCCATGTAATGCGTTATGATAAGGATTCTTATATTTACTATATCCTTGTTCTAAAGTCACTAAGAAACTATCCAAAACAGTTGAACTAATTTTAAACTTTGTTATAAGATCATATTTCTGAAGAAGTTCATAGCCAACAAATTTCAAGGCATGTCCATCTGACGCATCATTTACAGTGAACACATTAAATGACCAGTCATCTAAACTCTGAAAAACAAAAACAACAAATTATATAAGACTAGTACTGGGATTAATCAATATAAAATGGTGAAGATGACATAACATTCTTATCTTTGATTGGTCATTTTAAGATTATATTTTCACCTAGCATGGCTGCAATAGAAGCTTACTAGCAGTTTCTATGACAAGAATCATAATTACCATGGCAAAAATACGCAACTGTCTACCAAAACAGCATGTTATTCTCAACAGGACTAAATCTTCTTGAATTTGGGTAAGAAATAAATCTCTTATATGTTGATTTGCTTTGTTAATTTGCATGGTTGGATGACAAGCTGTCTTTTTGAAAATTTTACTTCTGGTAAACCCAGTGTTGAAATATAACCTGTTTTTACACAGTAAGCCAAAAATCGAACTAAAGTTAGTAAAAGTGGATAGAACCTGCTCCATCACTTATGTAAACCAGCGGCTGCCAGGCAGGATACGCCCACATTTTCGAGAGATGGATAGAAAACAAGCTAAAACGAAAGTGATTTTTCCTACAATCAAAGGCCATAATTCAGGAAATTACAATTCGATATGCGCAAATATCGACAGGAACCAAGATCTTTGAGTTATAAACTTACATTTCAAGTTTCAACAAAATCGGATAAAAATTGTGACCTCTATAGGGTCCACAACCTTGATATACCATATTTTTACGCAATTTGAGAACGAGGGGCGGCCATTTTGTCTGTCAGTTTTGGGCCGATTTTCACAAAATTCGAACTCAGTCGTCCTTAGGGTGTAACGGTGATATAATAATACGATTTTTTAAATCGGATAAAAATTATGACCTCTATAGGGTCCACAAGCTAAAAACGCGATTATTGGTACAATCATGGGCCATAATTCAGGAAGTTACAGTCCGATATGCGCGAATATCGAAAGGAACCGAGATCTTTGGGTTATAAAATCGGATAAAAATTGTGATCTCTGTAGTGTCCACAACCTTGATATACCATATTTTTACGCTATTTGAGAACGAACGGCGGCTATTTTGTCAGTCAATTTTGGGCCGATTTTCACGAAATTCGAACTCAGCCGTCCTTAGGGTGTAACGGTGATATAATAATACGTTTTTTTTAAATCGGATAAAAATTATGACCTCTATAGGGTTCACAAGCTAAAAACGCGGTTTTTGGTACAATCAGGGGCCATAATTCAGGAAGTTACGGTCCGTAATGCGCAAATATCGAAAGGAACCGAGATCTTTGGGTTATAAACTAACATTTCAAGTTTCAACAAAATCGGATAAAAATTGTGACCTCTATAGTGTCCACAACATTGATATACCATATTTTTCTGCTATTTGCGAACGAATGGCGGCCATTTTGTCTGTCAATTTCGGGCTGATTTTCACGAAATTCGAACTCAGCCATCCTTAGGGTGTAACGGTGATATAATAGAACGGTTTTTTAAATCGGATAAAAATTATGACCTCTATAGGGTCCACAAGCTAAAAACACGATTTTTGGTACAATCAGGGGCCATAATTCAGGAAGTTACGGTCCGATATGCGGGAATATCGAAAGGAACCGAGATCTTTGGATTATCAACTTAGATATCAAGTTTCAACAAAATCGGATAAAAATTGTGAGCTCTATAGTGTCCACAAGCTAAAAACGTAATTTTTCGTACAAACAGGGGCCATAATCCATGAAGTTTCGATCCAATACATGCCAATATCGAAAGGAACCGAGATCTTTTGGAGAAAAACCTATATTTCAAGTTTCGTCAAAATCGGATAAGAATTGTGACCTGTAGAGTGTCCACAAACAACGGACAGGGGCGACGGCATAATACGTCCACATGAAAATGTGGGTGTATAAAAATACAAGTTAAACCCAACTGAATATTTTATTCAAGAGGTTTAGCTCCTTTAATGTCCATGCCAACCAGACATAACAATGAATGACAACCATAATGAGTCATGCTCACCAAGCATGACAATTTCACAGCTAACATAATTTTTTGTTATGTAGAAAATATTTTATTTCAAATGGATGAAATAGCCTAAATCACACCTCGATCTCCTCGTGTGCACAGCAACTTACATGAAAACTGAGAAGAAATAGGTCTACGGAATGGCCATTTTCTGCAATGTTAAAACTTTGATTTATGTTTCTAGCACACTGAAGTTGTTGTTGCAGAGTGTTGGCTTTAGTCAGTTAAAGTGCACATAAGATGGGCCTGGAAACTTTGAGATAGGTGTAGCCAATGGTTACTAAATCCACTTTACGGCAAGTTCACGCCAATCTGGTTGAAATTAATGCAGTTATCTTCACTCAAAGTCGTAAAAATAGACCTTCCGTAAAAACGACTTTGCCAATTATCGAAAACACTCTTAATCCCCCCAGACGCCAGTGACGTCACAGTGACCGAATGCATATTGGGAATGTTTATTCCTTAATTACCTATATACAGCCGGCGTGTGTATTCTTTAACGCCTGAAGGATTACTTAATCCCCCTAATTAAATAAAACAATTGACTACGGAATAATTTGTTTTGTAATTCATTTTAATTTAACTCTTAGAACCCGAAATGCCGCAAAACCGGCTTGACGTTGTATCGCATATACCCGAAATGTCGACTTTGCGGCTTGGGGCGTGTCGTTTGAATCTCGGCCTTAACAATAATAATTTAGCCAATCAAAATACAGTTTACCGTTTGCTCCGGGTCTGTTGGTAACAGTGACTTCCTTCTAGATTGTTTACATTTAGATATTAGCAAATTATTCGATATAATATGTGTTCTAAACGATTAAATACAACGGATGCGCTAGCTTTTATAATGAGCGATAATGACGAGGATATTAATGGTTCGGATTACGGCAATGAGAGCGACTTTGAAAGTGAATATGATTCAGATTCTGACGAAATTAAATATTGTGATTAAATATCGTTGTTTCATCATTTCACACAATTTTAAACACATATAATATCAAATTCACACCTAACATTTAGTCCCAATCAAAATGACGTCGTTTTTCCAAATTCCTGCTGTAAAGTCAGGGTGGGGTGTGCCACACCCAAAATATTTTCAGGGTTCAAAGGGTTAAGATCCAATTTAGAGTGCCTACTACTTTTAAACTTTGAAGTCTTGAACTCTTAATTAATTTTTTACAATATGGAACTTATTGGACGAACACTTTTAATATGTAAATAATATACGGGTCCAGCTGGGTGGTTTTTACTGCGAGCACTTCGCTTTTCCACATAAAGTGTAGTGTCGTTAATATCTGTCATTAATTAATCAATCCGACCATAAAAGTTATACAGGCCTGGGTCATAAATTAATTTACGCGTTGGTGTTAGCAGTGAGTGTTAATGGGATTAAGAATGTTGATTAGGTAATTATCTTTTTTTTACACCGGCCAGATCAAAGACATCACTCTAAGTGGAACGTGTGCGTAATACCTCACGAACGAACTAATGGTAGAATCATACACACACACATTGATTGTATAGAATAATTAAGTTTTACTAATAAGTTGTTTAAAATTACTATATACCCAATAATTATTGCTCACCGGTGTTTTTGTTATGAAGTAGCCTTGTATTATTTGTTGATTGGCGTTTAAACAACATTTAATTGATGGATGGATTAATGTTTTTGATACGATTAGGTTATAATGTCTAACATCGGTTATCTTCTTTATAATAAAAGTATTTTACAATTGCATTGAGCAAACGGCACCAGGAACTCCACGAATGATCCCGTGCAATTTTCGCGGCGAAGTTTAACCTCATTTACTACACCCGTAGTACATGGAACGGTACATGATAATAAGATACCAAGCGTTGATTGGCAAAGAAATGGGTGCGATCTATTGTACATGTTATGCATAGTCATCGGAAAATTCCATATTCACTGTAGTTGTTCTTTATGTATAGAAATGGTTATTATTATTATATATAGCTAATAATGAATATATCGACAAATGACTGGCACCATTTGTATTTCTGTACTTAAGTTTGGGATATCAAGTATTACAGGGTTTTGCAAATTATCGGTAAATGCGCTAATTTCTTGAGTTATCTTCATTTGACACGTGGCCTAGTTAAACATAGGCAGCTTAAATTGATCTACGGCATGTTACGGCATTTTAAATTCACTCTAAAATATTCCAATCACAAATGTCTAATCTATACCAATGAAAGACGATAATTCGGTGATTATGATTAGGCCAGTCACGTGGTAATTGGACCGTCAACTTGCCGTGTGTATTGATAGTGCTATATTGTACAGACAGTGAGATATTGTATAGATAATGTATATCCTATGTGTAGTGCCTATGACGTCACCAGCCAATCAACCGGATTAAGGTCGTAACTGAAAAATCGAAAAGCGTTTTGGCGTGTCGGATACTTAAACGTTAACAGCGGACTTAATTTTAATCAGATTAGTGTGAACTTGCCGTAAAGTTGATATAGTAACCATGGGCTATACATACATGCAATTTAGATTTTTGATCTTACATGGTCTTTAACATATAATAGCTAACTGAGCTTGTGGTATATTTGTATTAAAACTTATAATTGACTTTACCTTTAATAATATCAGTATATGAGGAGGAACATGCATCCCAAGAGAACTGGACATTCGTCTATAAATTCTATAAAACAAAACAGCTTAGTATTAAAGTTCTAACAAGAATAACAGGACAGTGTCTCTGTTTACCCAAATTTGCAAAGAAATCATAGTTTGATCAATTTACAAAATAAAACAAGAAGCAGAAATGATGTTTATTCATTTTACTTCTATTCTAAGGGTCTCAAATGACCATAGCTTTTTATTTACAATACTGTCTGAGGAGCTAGATTTTGCCAATATTTACCAACTCTGGTGTTTTTAGAAGAAAGTAAACATAGATGTATTTGAAAAATCATGTAGGAATTATTCAAAAATTTCATCTACAGTGATCTTTTCTGCTGGCTTTCATGATTTCAAAATTTGCTAATATCTTTATCAAAATGTTAAAGGTAAAAATATATTCATTGCTAACCTGTCCACCATAATACCCGCTCTAATTGCATGTGCCACACTACGAAACCTTGGCTTTTCTTCTCCTTTCCGTTTTAAATTACTCATAGACCTTGTGAAGGTCAATGCTAACCAATCCCTAACTTCACTCGGAACAGCATCAGGTTCAACTTCACTGAGTTCATCATCTTCATCACATAACCGTCTAATAAATAGATAAGTATCAATTTTAAATATATATCTCATTAAAATGATAAAATAAAAACAACCTTAACAGTAAATATAAGTGAAAGTCTTTCTTACAACAATTTTCTTCTGTAGAACAAATAATTTTAGGAATTCTGTTCATTCATTATTTTTGACATTTCCTAATTCCATAACAGGTCTGCTACAACACTTACTTGTGGTACTTCCGGAAAAAGTTTTAAAAATTCAATTTTTTCCTTAAAATAAACTTTTATCTTTTCTTATGATTAACTGAATATTATATTATAGGCAGTCAGAAACATAAACTATTATATTTTATGCAAAAGGGATAATAAAACAATCTTTCATCAAAATGACATGCTACATAAGATCGTGCTTGTCTGAAAGTCGCTAAATTTATGAATATTTTAATATGAATAATCAATCGTGCATTCATTTAAAAATATCATTTAAAATAGCTTTAATTTAATTTTTACCTATCACTTTACAAAAAATACAGCTATGTTAATCGAGAACAAAAAACTTTATCCAATACTATTTTTATAAATTTTATATTGCAGATAAAATTTATGATAATATGTCTGTTACTGCAGGTGGGCTACACATGCTTCTCTCTTGCGCTGAACTATACTTCAAAATTTGACATTAAAAACATCTGGTTGCAAAAACACAAATTTTCTTGCAGAACATAAATGAACAAAAAAAATTCCGAGAATTATTCTTCACACACTAACTAATAACAATTCATTAACTCATCCATGCCAAGATTTCTTGAAACAAAACTTTACTTTAACAAAAAAAATAAAGAATGTATGCAATGTAATTAATATTAAATATCCTTAAGAAGACATTTCTGATGGAAATTTAAGTAATTCTTTTTCATATTAGGGACAAATTGTCTAATGGGATTGAACATATTTGAGGTTATTGTGTAAAAAAAACAAAACAGATTAACATGCTTGATCTACGGTAAATGTCTTCTTCTAATAAGGATCATATCTAAATGGACCGGCAATGCTGCACGCTGTGTTTTTAATCTGATTTCCAAATTAAAATTTAAATGAAATCTAATAAAATATATTCAGGTTTGGATATAAACTACAATCATTTTTAATCCATAATTTGAATTTTACCATGCATTAAATTATAGACCTTAAATTTTACATATTCTATTGAAGAGAATTTGTGAATTAAATAACTATCAATGAGCATTTAAAAAGAGAGAAATAGTTTGATAAATAGGTGAATTCCACCTCACTATAAACAGTTCTTGCTATGACAGACACTTATTTCACAAATACTATTTATATTCACACGCAAGATAAAAATATTTTTCACTATACAACATTTGAATAATCTATCATGTTCCTTGCAATTCAAATTCTTATTTATCAAAAAAAAAAAAAAAAGAAAAAAAGTTATATTAAATAATGAGACCTTTCTTTTGTGCCATCCTTTTTGCATTTCACTTTTCTAAGAATAAACAAAAATTTAATGAATAAGACAATGAAATTCTCTAGAAACTGTTTAAATTTAAACTTAAATATTGAAACTATCTGTATTAAATGAAGTATTGTTTTTAGTCAAATTATATTTTTATACATTTTAATATTTAAAAAAAATATGTCTCATGGTTTTCAATCTTTTACTTCCATGTTTTATCAAATTTTAATCAATTTAATTTTAACAAATTATAATTTATAATGAAAACTCAATAAAAATTAACAAAACAGATATTTAATAAATGTAGTATTAGTATGTTGTTTGTTAGTCACAGGTGCTACAAAAATTCAATAAAAAAAAATAATAATTTAGTTTTAGTTTTGTATTTCACTGAATTAAATCAAACTTATAGAAAAATAGTATATCACTTGTATTAAAAATTGTTATTAAATTTCAAAACCATAAAATTATGGATTGTTTTCTTAGAAAACAAAAAAAAGTTAGAAATATTATTAGTAACTCAGAAAACTCAATAATTAGAAATGTTATAAACATAATAAAATAAGAATGATTAACATTGCATTGTAAGGGCAAAAATAATACCTATTTGTCAGAATGTCTCAAATTAACCATATGATGATATGAATATAAATAAATAACTTGTACTACTGCCATTAAAAAAAAGTTTCTAAAAAAGTTGTCTATTTCCATCAAAATAAAATTTCTCAAAAAGTTTTCAACTTTAATGAATTCACTTATATATATATATATAGCAATTATAGCCTCTTGCAACATGAAGTTAGTGTCATAATATTTATATAGGATACTCATAATTTGGAATATTAGTATGGATGTGTATGATTGTAACTATGTCAAAGCAGGTGCTAAAATAGGGAGATATCTGATATATTTGATCAGTAATGGGTTCTAAGGATAACATAAGATTAAATAATTTAGCAAGAAAATAAACTTTTGATTAAATCTGGTATCATTGATTTCTTTCTGCAGCAAATATCAATGACCAATGCCAGTGTAGATTAATTTCATGCCAAATTTTTGTCCAACCAAGATTATTTACAAATTTAGTTATTTAGAAACAATTGTTTTTTTTTTAAATCTAAAATCCAATTTTATGTAAAAAAAATAATAAATTACAGTGAACGTAATATAGTGAAAGCAGCGAAATAATAAAATATCACTCACAAATGTTAGACATTAAAATTAATTAGTTTCTCTAATAAAATTAAATCATAAATATCTAGCTATTTCCAAACTGAAAATGTTTACTGCCTAAATTTGTATCATTTCATGCTTTAGTAATTTAAAAATGAGTGTTTCTATTGTTAATATATAATCATTTGAAACATTAATCAGTAATTCATTTTTGGAAACTGCACATGTATAATGTATCTTACATATTTATATACATGTATACAACTCATAATATCTTTATTTAATTAAGATATTTCTATTTCATTTTTTAAAACCATTTAACAATTGTTTAGTATAGTGAGTAACAGTTATTACTTAGTCATGCTTTAAACAAGGTGCCCTTGAAAATAAATTCTGCCAACTGTGCACTATATCCTTATATTGATAAAGGCATAAGTCTTTCAAACTGATCAATTGAAAAGTAACAATTTTTGTCAAAAAAAAGAACAATTAATCAATTGTAAAATATTTATTTTTAAGATTTTTTTTTTTTAAAACCAATAAGGAAATTGACCAGAATGAAGAATGAAGCCTTATCTCTAATCTGCAAACTCTTACTGAAGCCTTTCTGAAATACTTTATCATCAATGTGAATGAATTATTCATTAGTTGTATATAAATTATTACCCACATCAAGTAATATGACTAATTATCCAGCTAAATTAAAATAATTATCTATCAATATATATTTGGAGTTGTCATAAATCTCTTACTAGTTCAAATACCTTATCTAAGAAGTTCATGGTACACTTATTGAGACCACTGATACATTCTCTTAACCAATAAGGTTGACTGTCTTAAGATGTCAAGAATCTGTATTGATTCTGAGGTTTATATACATTGTGGTGACCAATTTCCAAGGGTTAATAGTTGTAATGAATATTTGATTTTAGGCAGAAAATAAGTACATTATTAATTCAATAAAGTAGATCAGACAGGAGCACAAATCAAATTTAAATTCTGAACTGCAAAACATTACACACTAGACGTTAGCAACTAACACATTGTTGGAATAAATACAATATATTGCAGTTGCTTCCCTTCTAGCACAAGAATCTTGTCTTAAAGTGTATAAAGAAAACTATACCAAAAACCAACCAAACCCTATGTAAAAGAACAGGATAACTGGTGCCTAGCTATCATTATAAAAAAGACATGTATAATTGCTTCCATAATGCCAGTCTTTTCTTTAATTAGCATTAAAGTGCTGTGAGAGTAATTATATAACTTTCTTTTTTACTGAATGGCACTAAAAGATCTTGCTTGGTTAGTTCTCAGCACAGTTTTCCTTTAAAGTTTTATATCTCAAATATAATAACCCGACAGAGTTCCCTTATTTAGTTTTAATAATATATGTCAGCAATTTCAGTTTCTTTTTGAATCAATAAGAGTTTGCAGAATGGACAAAACAAAATCAATGATAAATCTAAGAAATAAATGGATTGATATCAACGGTAATTAATTTGTTAATGAAAAGATGCGATATATTAATTACACCTCTTATTGTTGCCGCTATGCTGGTTTAATCTGTTGACAAATAGAAAGACAAGAAAATTTAAAAGGGGTAGCAAAAAATCATTAAAAAAAGTCACATAGAAAATACATGTAACGCAAGGAGCATATAGATATAGGAAAAGACACATACATATATACACATACATATTTTAGAAAATAATTGGTTGAATTAGTCCTGGGTTTTTTTAGTAGATCAAATGGACTCCTTTATTTACATATCAGTTTCTACAAGATGTCTTGCTTTTATAAACAGCATTTTTATGATTTGAAACTGGAGAACAAGCAGAGCCCAATTAAACCTCCTCTCCACAAAGTCCATCTAGGGGGCAGGGTCAGATACATCATTAAAGCATTGAAAGAGTTCAGAATAATTAATTGTATATTGGCTGAATATCAAATTGTATACATTATGAGATGATTCTAGAGAACATTTCTTAGACCTTTATTACTTAGTAAAGGCAATTCCTTATAGTGATCCCTCCTCACCCCTTAAAAAAGAACAACTTTCATAAATTTCATTAAACACCATTCTATGACATACAACTGCATTCAAAACCATGATTACCAACTGAACATGTAGCTAATATACAGCAACTACAATTTCTTTTCTTTCCACCATATTTAATTACCCTAGTAACATAAGAAACACCTTAACAACCAAATTAAAGATTTTCTCGTTCTGGGGCAATTAAAATATATCTTCCTTGACAACCAAACATACTTTCAAGAGCAGCATGAAGTCATTACAAGTACACCATTTGACGTCAATGTATAGTCTTGGTCATTAAGTACAAGCTAATAAGATGTCTCCTTATTAAGAATATAAAGTGACAACACAATATGATAACTTTCTAATAAATGAAAATACAGGCGATTTATTCTTTTATAAAATTCAGTGAGAAAGAAACAAACCTGAAATGAATGCAAATGTAGGAGATTCTGAGTATGAAAAGCATATGGAGTTTCACTCCCTTTTATTTAGCACAAATAATTCATATGCCTTCCACAATAGCCAATGACAGAAATGAATGATGCATGCCATTAAACGAAAGGCAACATGGGTTTGAAAACTCAATGGATTTTAAAACAAAGCTGTGTTTGGCGTTTGACTGACATTTGAAATTGCATTTTATTATGAGATATTGATAGATGTTCTGCTTGCAGTCACAATTTTTTAATGTTCCACGAATGATCAATTGAAATAAAGAGTAATACATTTCTAAAACACGTACAAGTTTGATATACAATCTTTGCAGGATCAACACATGCTGAACAAAGAAATGAAATGAAATGGGGTTTAACATCCTACTCTAAACAAAGAAAGAGTAACTAAAAAATTAAATGTATATATAGTTGGTCCTAACCCTAAATTTGAGCAAGTTTAGTCAAATGGTTGTTCTAGAACCTTAAAGAATCAATGACAAGTTTGGCTCTGGTTCCAGCCAGCAGAATAGTCCAATTCAAGATTAAATTATACACTGTATCCTATCATATTATAATTGCTCTGGCATATAGTAAGTAGGTAATTTGCTGCCAGCCTCCTATAATCAAAAAGCTGTAAGAACCACTACCCATATTCAAATTCATGCCAAAGATATTTAAACATAGAGTATTATTATTTACCAGTACTTGAAAATCATTATTTCAGGGTTACTATGATGATAATTCTAAACCGGGGATCATTTCTTTTAAGTTTTTTTTAGTAACTTTTCAATACCAGTCATTTTAATTCTCTTTCATTTAACTATACCAACAAAACTGTTAATGAAACATCCTGCCCATTCAAAGGTTTCAAATTTGTACAAGTTATTGACATTGACTATTGGCTAATTTTCTTCCATACAACGCCTTAAATTGGACAACTACTCCTTAATAAGATTGCTCCCTGACTGTTAGTCTAGAGTCACAAAGAGTCTCCAGGCAGCTTATAACCGATACAGCAATTTCCTTTCTAAATCTCACATTCCATCGGCCTATTCTAAATTGATATCTCTTTTCCAAGTTTTTACGACCATTTTACAGTAGCTGTGATAACCTGAAGGTCACATGTTCTGCCATTACCATATTAGGATAACAACTACAGAAAGTCATAAAGTACTTTTATTTTCAATTGAAAATGAATTGGTTTTATGGCATATTGCAAACTCTTATTGTACTACATATATAATGATAGTACTTAAAGTGGGAGTACAAGCAGACATGTTTCAGTTACAATAATCGGTAGCAATTTATTTACTAATTAATTAATCATTGACTAATCCCAATGTTATTATGAATATTACGAACATGCTCAAAATATACTATTCAAAAAAAGTAGGGGATATTTGATTTTTAAGTGTTATTAAAGTCACCTAATGAAACTGACGAAGAAACAAATGACAAAATGAAATGAAGTTCACATTCATCGATTTATTCCAAATGATCGTTAGACTAAGTAAGGCACAGACTGACCATTATAAGGGTAAAATGATACCCGGGGTCAAACAGCAAAGTTACCACAGCATCACAACCAAGTCAGTAACGGGTAAATCCTCCTCTGTTTGCCAAACAAGCATTGATCCGACGTGGCATACTCCTAATGAGACGTCTAAGGTCATTTTGGTCCAGATTGTCCCATTCCTGTTGCAACGCAGCAGCAAGTTCTTGGACATTGGCAGGACGTTGTTGACGTTGACGTAACCTCTGTCCAAGCATGTCCCAGACATGCTCGATGGGGGAGAGGTCGGGACTCAGTGCTGGCCAAGGTAATGTGGTGATGTTCTGTTGTTGGAGGTAACCTGTAACGATCCTGGCCCTGTGACATCTTGCGTTGTCATCCTGGAAGATGAAACGGCGGTCATGACGTCGTGCGAACGGCACAACATGGACTGCCAAGATGTTGTCCCGGTAGTACTGGCCTGTAACACGCCCTGCAACAACATGTAAAGCCGTTCTTCCAGCAACAGTGATGCCTCCCCACACCATAACAGAACCATCCCCAAATTAATCATGTCTGATGACGTTAACGTCTTGGAAGCGCTCGTTTCGACGACGCCACACCCTCCTACGTCTGTCCAAAAAATCAACAGTGAACCTTGACTCATCTGAAAACATCACATTGCTCCAGCGTCGATTATCCCAGTGTTGACGATCCCTACACCAACGACGTCTTGCCTGAATGTGATGATCTCTCAAACAAGGGATCACGCGAGGACGTCAGGCGCGAAGGTGACCCCTATGCAGTCGATTCCGAATCGTCTGGCCACTCACTCTCACACCAGTGTCTGTTTGAAGACGAGCGCTGATCTGATTTGCTGTGATGACACGATTTCTCAAGGCCAAGGTACGGATAAATCGATCCTGGGCTTGAGTTGTCGCCCTTGGTCGACCTGAGCGTGGTCTGTCCTGTACAGATTGTGTATCACGGTATCTGGACCATAGCCTGCTTATGACAGACTGAGAAACATTCATCGTCCGCGTCACAACCGCCTGTGTTGTGCCGATCTGTAGCATGCCAAGGGCACATAACCTTTCATTTTGGGTAAGCCGACGCATATCAAAATTTGTTTTCTGGTCACTAAAACAATTAAACTGATGTTTCCACCCTGGAATTCAATGCCACAATGACTGTAACATTCAAAGTCAGAGTCGTGCAAATCTTGGGTTGGACCCCCATGATGATCCCAAGCATCACCTGCATTCCATGCGGTAGCTATTGGTGCGTTTGGGCGTCACATGTAACTGGAAATGTTTCTTCTGTTAGGTTCTATAGTGACTTTTTTCGTAGTCATTTGCATATTTTAGTATTATGCCCCCAAAATCAAATATCCCCTACTTTTTTTGAATAGTATATTTTCCCATCTAATGAATGTCCATCTTAATTACAGACACACCACTACATCTATCTATATACACCATACATATTAGAGTCATCTTGTGACTTAATTGGTGAATATGCATAATCTAGTTTAATTCCTTACAGCTATTGTGTGTGAGTACCCAGACTCTTCATGATACCATATATAAATAGCTTCTGTTTAGAAATTGTTAATCCTGTTTCAGAAATTTTCGACGCTAACTTACGGTTATTTCACTTCACTATACTACACAGCCAGACAAAGGCTACAGGGCTAGGAATGAGAACTTTGCCTTGACAGTTTTATTTCTGATGGCCATGATGGCCATGATGAACATGATATCGATAGCTAGCACCTGAAGGTTTTGTTCCATAAAAAAATACTAAAAAAACCCAGGTCAATTTTCCGAAAACCACAGAATCCTAATATTGTAAATATACATGCGTAAAAAATCTAATCCATCAGACACGGATAGTAATTGTCATTTCATATTCTTCTGCTTTTAGATATACAAAGTCATTATCCCCTCTAGTTATTCAGCACAAATTTTGGAAAAATTTGATTGATGTACTTTCTGAAACTGACCTAGGCTTTCAATATATTGATAATGGGTAACTTGACACAAAACATTCTAAAGGTTCTGCTTGATCAATGGTCTAGAGTGGACCACTACTGGTCATATATATATATATATATATATATATATATATATATATATATATCTTAAACCCCACAAATAGTTCTCTTGTGCAAGAAATAGTCATCACTAGCATTCCATTCCTAGTGATTAGAGAGAAATCAGAGACAATAGCCTTCTATAAGAGAATTCAAGTCATTACTGTAAACAAAATGTCTGTAGGGGTCCATTACCATCAAATCAATGGAATGTCTATTCTTTAAATTGCTATTTAATGGTAAATAGCAATTTACATAAAACTCATTTGTAAAATCTTTCTGGTGATTCATGGTTGTCTCTTTTAAGAAATGTTGAGCTAATTTTGGCTTATTCTAAGATAAACAAGCTTTATCTGTGAATATAGAAAGATGAAAACAGACTGCAAATTATGAATAAATTTATATGCCAATACAAACTCAGTCCATGTGACTGGTATCAAAACAGGATAAAACAACCACTCATCAACTCGGGATTTCCAACACCAGATGGTCACAAAATAT